CTGGAGTGAGGCTGTGCAAATCCTCTGCCAGGGTTATTTATCTCCCTGGCTCGCTTGAGGAAGCCACAACCTTTTCAGAAGAGAGGGTATGGTATTGCTGGAGGAAGGGGCATCTGGCAGAGCAACTTGAGAGCCCATGGGGGTGAGCAGATGGGAGAAGCTGTGCACGGGAGGCTGGGGCACGATGCAACATTGCTGTCCCAGACCTGTCCTTGCTCACCCACATGACTAGAGCTATTCCCAACCCCCATCTTTAGCCACGCTTCCCCTCTGTAAGTGGGAATGAATGGTCTGCAGTGTTCCCGGTCCAGTCACCAGCAGTAATGGATGGTAGGGACAGGCTTTTCAGAGGAAAGACTTGGGTATGACTTAGCTTTACCTGGCTGGGACCTTGGGTGCTATTTAGCAATGAGATATTTACAGAAAAGATCAGGTTCAATTGAGGTCAGCTAGCTGGGCCTTGATGTGGCATGCCTAGTGACCTTATCAAAGGGAGAGATGTGTGCAGAAAAGGAAGATAGTCACCTCCAAGGCAAAGAGAGAAGACTGAGACAGGGCACCTCTTTCCCATGAAAGCCTTGGAGGAGCCCAGATGGAAGCCTAGTGCCAGCCTGCCAGCCTCCCAGCCTGCAGATGCTGATTTTCTGTTGTTGATGCCCTGCACAGGTAGCATGCTGTTACACAGCCATAGAAATAAACACAAGTGATAACACACCCCTCTCCAGCCCCCGCCCCCAGCTCTCTCCCAGTCTGCTGATGGGTACTATGGGGGCATTTAGCCTCCTGGGCTGTTTGAGGACTCTGATGAGAACGTGTATATGAGGCACTTAGATGCTTTTGGCATCTAGTAAGCACTCAAGAATAGCAGTGGCATTAGTCCTGTACTGTGACCTCTTGGCTTTATCAGGAGAGCTTGCAGAAGAAGGCTGGCAGCTGGGACAGGGCCAGAAAGCCCCAACTGAGACCTTTCCCAGGGAACTGGGTCACCTTAGGTACCCCTTCAAAAGCCTGTGAATGTGGAAGAGGCCAAGAATGTCCCATTAGTGAAGCGCCTAATGGTTTTTAGCTGGAGAGTGGTCTTGGGCCTAATTGACAAGGCTACAAAACCAAGGTTCTTTATTTTTATACGCTGGCTATGCTCTGAGTATGTTGAGCCGCTATGGGAATCAATATGTGCAGCCATCGTGGGCATTTATGGGCATTTTGCGAAGGAGGTGGTATGGTTGTGAAGGAGGGACACTTTCTGGATGACCCTGAGCAGACCCACTATCCTCCTTGAGCCTCAGTTTCCACATCTGCAAAGTGAAGGAGGTAGAGCAGCCAGCTCAGGAGCTTTTCAACTATTCGAAGGCCTCAGAGTTGTGTGTGAGGTCTATGTGCACACATGTGTCTTGGGGAAGAAGTTCCCATTATGGTTCTCTTTCCTTTTGGCAGTAGCAGGGATTGAACCTAGAGCTTTGTGTACGCTAAAGGCAGGCACTTCACCACTGTGCCAGCCATACCCTCCAGCCCTTTTATCCAGTTCTGGAAGGAGCCTCTACCTCTCAGATCATCTACCATCTGAACCACCTTTCAGGATGGCTGGCTCTCAGCTGAACTGGGGTTCTGAGACTGATTCAAAGGCTGTCTCTAAAAAGTGGGTGCTACGGACATAGCTTCTCTGAGTAATTGGGGTAAGAGACCAAGGACATAGCAGAAGGCTTTGCTGGTCAGCAGGCCTCTGCTGTCTAGAACCCTTCTATCTCAGCTGCAGGCCCTCCTTCCTATTCGACAGGCCCTCAGTGATGGCTCTCCTGCCTGCCACCTCCTGTCTCCTGGATGCCTCCAACAGACTAACACTGTTGCTATGCTGACCCTACCCCCATCACACTCAGACACTGTTGCTATGGTGACCCAACCCCCCTCACTGCTCAGAGTGAAACCCAAATCTCTTAAAATCCCCACCTGATCCGCCTTCCACCTGCCTCTCCACTGCCATCCCCCAGCTCCTGTCAATGAGCTGCAGCTTGCTGACCTTAACACTTGCATAGCTCCATGTTAGCGTGTCCTAGGCTCATTCTCACTGAGGTCTTCGCCCTGACCACTGCCACTTCCTGGAAAGGCCCTCCTGCCTACTCCATAACCTGGCTTCTGTCTGTCCCCACCTTACCCCCTCCATCTAAAATAGTCAGCTCCCATGCTCCAAATGACCCACACATCCAGGCCTAATATTTACCTCAGTGAAATAGAGACATATGTCCGTGGACAGATGTAAATACAACTATTCCAACCTACAATGGCCCACACCTAAAAGCAAAGCAAATGGTCATCCACAAAAGCTAAAGCCATCTGCATTGCCACAGACTAACTGGGCATACAGGGGACAGAAGCCCTAAGAGGCAGGTGGGAGAAGCCACCTGAGTTCCCTTTAGTGGCTCAGAGTTGGTGTGGCTGGGTTACTCAGGGATTCAGGTTTCAGGCAGCATGCATGCGCCCTCTCATGTTCAGGCTCCGAGCTAGGCCCAGAAGCATCTAGCTGGCCTCTTCACAGTTCAGGCAGTGGTCCTTCTTATTCTTGAAGTTTGTGTTTGAGGTCCCAAGTAGATGCCGAAAGCCACAGTCAATACCAGACCTGAATACTGTAGGGTTTTTTTTTTTCTTTTTATGCATACGCACAGAATGTGAAGCCCACTCCATCTTAACTAAGATGCAGCCTGTACTGTAAAAATCTGAGGTGTGACAGCAAAACCGTCATGAATTTTTTTTTTTTTCTCCTCTTCAGAAATTCTTGGGTTGCTTCTTAGAGCTTCACCACCTTGCCATAGGACTAGTCCGGTTCCTCATCAGAGCTCTTGCCTTTCCCCCTGAGAGAAGTGCTTCGTGGCTCCGCGTTAGCCTGTCGTGACAGCAGCATTGCTGCTCTTGAACTGTGGGAGCATTTACCAGTGATACAAGAGTTGGCTGGACACAGCACTGCCATGTCTATCACAGCAGTCTGTCTGGTGGTGAGGATGGCTCTGGAGAGCCTAATGGGTGGGTAGCATATACCCTGTGGATACACTGGACAAATGAAGGATTCAGAGTCTGGGCCTGATCACTTAAGATTTCATCATGCTAATCAGAACGGCGCCTAATTTAAAATTTAAGAATTGCTTACTTCTGGAATTTTCTGTACAGATAAGAGGTGACTGTGACCATGCTTTTTTGTGGGATTTGCCTAACATCAGCCTCCCTCAGTCCTAGAGGTCTACCTCTGAGGGGACAGTGGTTGATTTTGTCTGTTCCGCCTCTGACTGTTGCATATTCTCTGATACATGACTCTGAGTAACTTGCTGCTCAATACTTAGGACTACTGGATATACATGTTTTGGAGAAGATGGAGAACAGGATTGGTGGGGACATGTCCCTGGAGCACATTCTAGCATAGAGCTGCTTGGCCTAAGACTCAGCTGGGGAAGGCCACGTGCAGAGAGGCCTGGTTCCCATGCTGCCCATATAGGCAGGGTTCTTGCAAAAATGCCAATTAAGATATTTGACCCAAATTTGGGTAAAAGCCCTTTTCCTGTTTCAACTTGAGCTAATTATATACATTTATTCATAATTTATGAGACCTAGTAAGTGGGAACAATTAAGGAAAGGGCCCTGGAAAAAACTATTTCTCTTAAGTGTCATGGTTGCCTTTTTCTTTTCTTTTCTTTTTTTTTTTTTTTTTTTTTTTTAATTTTTGTTCCCTGAGGCACATCCCACCCATCTGCCATGGAACGTTGCTGCTTTTATTATGGCCATCATCTTTCTCTGAAGTCACTACCCTTAGCCAACATTTATTGAGTGCATACTGGGCAAGACCGTAACATCACCTCAATTGCTCTTGAGCCTATAAAGCAGATACTGGTGCTGTGCCCATTTTACAGGTGAGATGAGACAGTTGGGTATCAGAGAGCCATGTGAATGGCCATCCCTAACAGGCTCATGGCTGATGAGTAGAAATTTAGAGTCTGGATATCCAGACCTCAGCTGCCTTCCTCAGATCTGTGATGCCACCATGCCATCTTCCTACCTCAACAGTTTCTGAGTCTTCAGGGAAGTCCATAATTGGTGATGAGTAACCTTGGGTAGCAGATGAGAAAGCCTGCAGCTTCTGACTCAGCAGAGGTGGGCTGGTCCCCAGGAGATGAGGAGACAGCTGGTCCTGGTCCTTTGAGAGCCGCTGGTCAGGATGGAGATTCTACCAGAGTCTGCCTCAAAGTTCCTCCCACCCTCCCCTCACTGCGGGTGGGTGAGGGGCTCTGCAGACCTCTTCTCAGTAGCTTACATAGCTATTATCCTACATGGAGAAGCTTGCAGTATGGTTGCTTTCCCCCACCCCCACCCCACACACATATGGATTGTGGATTGCCTGCTGAATAAAGCTATTCTGTATCTCGGGTTTTTTCTTTGGCACATCTTCAAGACAATCCGTAGATCTGCCTCATTCTTTTCGAAGGACTGTGGTATTCTGTAATAGAGGTGTGTCACGGTTTTATTTCCACCCTATCCTCTGCTGGGTGGTCTTCCACACACTTTAGGCTTTATAAATAACTCCCAACGTGCCTTTGGGCTTAGGTGTTTTACAAAAGCTTGGGAATCACTCAGTGTCAGCCATCATTGTCTCCTTGTTCTGTACTGTGATTAATATACAGGACATTAGGTTTTAGGCATTGCTTTCCAGGTGAGGGACACTTATATAAAATGATAACTGCTTACAGGCTCTAATAAAGTTTTCAACCAAGCAGTCCTAGGAAGAAGAAAGACATGCCGTATGGGCAGGGCCCTGAGGGATGTCTTTATGCCATGGGGTGTACCTTATCTTCCAGCAGGCTCAGCAGTTTCAAGGAATGGGGCAGGTCTTTACATTTACTGGTTATTTGGAAAATGTGGGTCTCGGTAGAGGGTCCAGGTGTCCAGCTATATGAATAATTAGTTTCCTGGCTAGTTATGGCCACACTCAGCTCTGATCACCTCTTTCCTTCCTGTGTCCTCAGGGTGGGGACTCAGGGGAGGAACAGCTGTGTGCTGACTTGCCGGAGCTCGACCTCTCCCAGCTGGACGCCAGCGACTTTGACTCAGCCACGTGCTTTGGGGAGCCGCAGTGGTGCCAGGAGACCGCCGAGACTGAGCCCAGCGAGTACAGTCCTGGTGACTCCGAGTTCTTCCAGGTGGGCCCTGACTCTTCACCCATCCTCCCTCGTGCCCTCTGTTCTGTTGCTTGCTCAAGCCAACGTGTGCCCACCGACATAGGTTCCGGGGTTCCTGTTTCCCTCTCCGAATCTGCACCTGGCTTAGGCTAGCTCTAGCTCTCTTGCCTGGCCTGATTTGCCACCTCTAGAAGGCAGAATCTGGAATGAGCTGCCCATCTGTGCCTCACGGTGGGAGTAAGCCCCTCCGAGGGTTAGGAGGTTCTGAGTCCTCTGTGCTACATGATCTTGTTGAACCCTCACCCAATTTCCGTTACGTCAGGAAGAGTCAGGTTCTGTTACGTCGTGATTTTATAAATGGGAAAACTAAGACATGGAGAACTTGGTCAAGTCCCTTTTTCAGTAGCTGAACTAGACTCAGACTCTGAGCTGGGCATGATGATTTATGCTTGCAAATCCCAGCACTGGGATTGCTGAGACAGGAGGATGACCATGAGTTTGAAGCCAGCCTGGGCTTCCTTTCATGAGTGAGTTTTTATTTCAAAAGACAAAAACCAGGAGCTGGGGAGATAGGTCAGCCGTTAAGAGCACTTGCTCTTGGGTTCTCTGCAATCATGTTGGACAGCTCACACCCACATGTGACTCTAGCTCCAAGAGATGCGACAGCCTCTCCTGGCTTCTGCAGACACCACAGACACATACACATACATCAATTATAAAAAAAAAAACCTAAATCTCAGCAACAGTATCAGCAATCTGAATCCAGCCTGTTTCCTGAGCCAGGACTCTGGGATGAGGACACCTCTGCAGTGTGATCCCTGCCTGTTGTGAGTTGCCTCGCTCTGTTCTCTCAGCAACTCTTACTGGAAAGGGCACCCAGAGGTTCACCAAAACCAGTGCCCGGAGCCATTCTGCCGAGTTCTCTCAGCCCCAGTGGTGTGGGCGCCCAGACACAAGCACATAATGACTGACAGTCCTTTTAAGAAGGCCTCTTCAGTAGAAAAACAGCATGAGACTTCTGGGGTGGGCTTCAGAATAAAGCAAGCTAGTTCTACGGGCATTTGCTTTTGTGCATTGGAGGTGGGGTAGGGTATGCTGCATGGATGGTCATGGATGAAATACAACTCTCCCATGTAGAAGCTGGGTGATGGAGCCTTCAGATTTACTGTTCTTTTTCCAAAACCGCCTTCCCCATAGGGACAGGTGCCTATGCTGAGTGTGCGTCTGCGGCCGTCAGACGGCAACATATGTGGAGCTTGCGTGCCATTGTTCCAACCCAGATAGTCCTGCAGATGGAGCTTGTCTGTCCTTCTAGAGGAGTCTCTTGAGCTTCCTGTGTGTCAGGAGCAGAGGTCATCAGCAGTCTGGAAGTCTGGAGGGAGATGTCCCTAGATTAGCAAACCCTGAAGCCAGCAGCAGGGACTGCCAAGGCACAGGGCAGAGAATGGGGCCAGGCTAGTGTCAGGAAATGCCTCTTGTATTTAGGGAGTTGTGGGGGGGCTTTGGAAGGGCAGAAACAGTGACCGTAGAGCAGCCTCTGGGAATTTGGAGTGCTGGGAAGAAAGACTAAGGGAAAGAAGTATAGGGAGGCAGGAAATCACCATGGAGTCTTGTGCATCATAGTAGATAGTATGGGTTTTTCTTGAGACTATTCTAACCTATTAGTTGCACAATTAGTAATCACTCATTTTGTAGGTGAAGAAAATAATGGCCAGAGAGCTGAAGTGACTGGCCCAAGGTCCCGCACCTAGGAAGGGTCAGGGCAAAGGTTCTAACTTAGGAGCCCACAACCTGCACTGCCATTGGGAACCCCTTTGCCAATCCTGTGAGAGCTGGGCCCTGACCTGTTTGACTCCGTCCAGGATCTCGTCTCTGTCTCTGTCTCTGTCTCTCTCTGTGTGTGTGTGTGTGTGTGTGTGTGTGTGTGTGTGTGTGTGTCTGTCCATGCATATGGAAGCCAGAGGAGAACCTCTTTGTCATTCCTCAGGCATCATACACCTTGCTTTCTGTCTGTATTTGTTTTTGAGAAAGGGTCTCACCACGTATCCCTGGCAGAGATCTATCCGCCTCCACCTCCTGAGCACTGGCATTAAAGACAGACACTATTACAACCAGCACATGTTGCTTTTTGAGACAGAGTCTGTCACTGGCCTGGGATTCACCAGTCTCTACTCCCCTAACCCTGGCATAGCATGCACACGGCTGCCACTCTTGTTTTTGTCTTTTTAACTTGAGTTCTGAGCCTTAAGCTCAGTCCTCTTGCTCACAAGGCAACCACTTTAACAGCTATCTTACCAGCCCTCTCAAACAAAAACAAAAACTTAAACATGGCTCCAAAACAATGCTGTTCCTTCTCTCGTAGGGGACAGTTTTTCAGACAATGTTTTCAGATTGCAGAGAGCTGAAATACAAGTGGGGCCAGGGTACTTCTGGAGACCATCCCCAGTGAATGCACAGGCCCCACACCTAACCAGCAGAATCTGGAGCAGTCATGCCATGGGTGCAATGGGTTCCCAGATGAATGAGCCTGCTCAGGCGCCCAGCCTAGTGAGCAGTCAGCCCTCCCAGTGGGCTGAGCTCTTACACCAGCACCTTCCCCCTTCATACCCAGTTCCCCTAGACCAGGCCATTATACACAAGTGCACCTGCTGTGCAGGTGATGGTGTGATTAGAGTCTGTTGTCATCGTTGTATGTGTGGCATCCTTCTTGAACTATGGGTCTATGTCCTCACTATGCATATTGTACCCCAGGGCTTCCCCCGTCTCTCTCCGGCCTTGTGTCCAGCCCTAATAAATAGTTATCACATAAATAAAGCCATGGGTCTCTCCTCCTGCAGCTCCGGTCACTTCTACTCATCTTCTGTCTGTGCTTTCCCTGAATATGGTGGTTTACTCGTTTCTGAAGCCTTTGTATATGGTAAGGGCTCAATTAGTAGGTATTAACAAAGAAACTGTCAAGGGCCATGTATGACCTCTTCCAAAACCTGAGTTGAGGCCCAGGCGCCACTGGTTCCGCTCTTCCTTCTGCCATTAACTTTGTTTCCTTCTGCCAGTGGACACCATGAAGCATTGTGCTGTGTCAGAGGCCTTTTCTGACACTCTATTGACACTGTTGCTACAGGAACAAATTAAGAGATAGGGGAGCAAGCTATAGTTATAAGGGTTGACAAAAATCTGGTGACATGGGCATTGCTTTCCATTATCTGTGTGCCCCAAAGTTTTTGGGCCAGGGTATGACAGGTACTTAGTGAGTGTTCTAGAGTAAGCAGGTGTTTGGCTGTTTTGTGCTATGTAGTCTTTTACAAGGCCTCAGTTTCCCCATGTGAGGAGTGAAGTGTTTCTTGGTGTGTTAAGGATGGAGAAAGAAAGTTACCAGTCCTTACAGATGCTGGGAATTCACAGACCCTCTCAGAATACGGGCATGCTGGGCCGTGGGTGCCTCCAGACTCATAAAGGCCTTTTGGAGAGGCAAGGGCCTCTGTGTGTTCTTCCGGCTCTTGGCACTGCTCTGTGGCATTCCTTCATGCCACTGCAGTCCTCAAATGAGGAATCTCTCTAAGGTTTCTCCAGGGCTCCTTTTCCTCCAGCCTAAGATGAGCAGGAGATGACTGAGGGCGGGGCAAGTCTATTAATATCCCTTTCTCAACTGATTAACTCTCCATTAATTTTCACTCCATTTCTAAGCCGAGCAGGGGGAACAAGCTAATGGGCCCAGGCAGGATGAGGTGGCCAGTTCCACTGATATCCAAAGGTGTCCACAGGGCAGCCAGCAGGCCTGGAGAGAGCCACGGTGATGTCTGGCTAAGGTGGCCTTTCCCCTACCCCCACCCAGCCGTTCCAGAGCTACAGCCCAGGGACTGCCTATGGGGGGAGGAACAGGACTTCCGTTAGTCACTGTGGTTTAAGCCTCATCATGGTCTCTGCCATTTTGTGCTCATCCCACCTCCTGCCTGTGTAAGGTAGAGTTCTCTCATCCTTTGCCCTGCCCTGGCTTGCTGTGTGGCCTTTGACAGGTCTTTGTTCCGAGGCCTCAGCCCACCTGTGGAAAGAATGGCAGTAGGCTTCCCAAGGAACACCAGCTGTGACTGTTTGAGGTCGTTGCCTAGAGCCCTGTGTCACCAGGACTCTGTCTGGCATGACGTCATTCATGCCGCAGGTGAGCTGGAACACGCATGCCACCTGTTTGACAACCCTAGCCGCTGGATGACCCTGAAAGCTCTTACGGTTTTGTTAAGTGCGATAATTTATGGCACCCTGGGAATTCTCATTCCACCCAGCACTGATGATGTCATTCTGAGTGACTTCTCTAGAACCCAAGATATTGAAGTTGGCCAGTCTCCCTGCTATTCCTCATGTTTCCTTCATTCACCAATCTTGCTGCTTCCCATACCCTAGGCTCAAAGCTAGGGGAGGCTCTGTTGTTATATTCCTGCCTTGCCCAGGACCACCCTAGCAGTGGCAGAGCTCAGCTCTGTGTGGTCATCCCCCAAATATCACTGGGCCCCAAGTTCTAGGATGTTAATTCCCCATCAAGCTAGCAAGTTGTTCTAGAAATAGAGCATAGCAAGTCTTGCCTGAGGACTGGGGGAATCTTGCAGGTGGGGGCAGCCACGTGAGTCCTCATCTCGCTTTCTAGATCCAGAGTCCACAAAGCCCTGGCTCAGACCCACTAACAACTTCTTCTGGCTTTTTTTTTTTTTTTTCTTAGCTCTGTTCTAAAAATTACAAACATGCTTATTCTCTTCTCCCCAAGTCCCCATTTGAGTTACTCAGCTGCCGCTGTCACTGTAGGGCTATATAGCCTAGAAAAGATTTAGTACAGCCAAAGGCCGTCACGAGATGTGTATTTCAGATGAACTTCCTGAAGAAAGGATAAACAGCTGGAACCAGGATGGGAAAGCATGCCGCAGAAGGGACCCTGTGACACCATGAGCTTCTGCCAGCAGGGACCTAGGGAACCAGGATTACTGACTGGGGTGCTTGGCCTATTCTAAAAGCAGTGTGGTCTGTGCTCCCAACCTCAAGCTTGGGGCCTGGGGGTTTGTCGCCTCTAGCTCCACTCTTCACCCGTGGCCAAGCTCTAGGAGGGCAGGAGATATGTGGTCTTGGTACGCTAGATGGCCAGCATCCAGCACAAAGCCAGATGCAGTACAGTGTGTGATGGGGAGGGACAGAAGGCAGGGAGGTGGGGACTGGCTCCCATCACTGTCACTGAAATGGTAGCAGTATAGTTAGTAAGAATAGTATAGCAAGTCATAAGCGCTTGCTCTGCGTCAGGCACTGTTTTCTAAGCACCTTGCCTGCAACCACCCAATCATCCTCAACAGGAGCTTCTTAGAGTAAATCCTGACTGTTACCCCATCTGGCAGGTGAGGACTAACTCACCAAGAACCCACAGTTGGTAAGTGTGGTCTCTGTGAGTCAACCACCCTAGAGCCCAAGCTCCTAGCTACAGCACCCACTGCTGCCTCTCTTTCCCTGAGTGAGCAAAGAGAACAAGCCCCAGGATCCCACGGAAAGTCCAAGTTACCCCCCTCTCTCTAGTTATGTCACGGTTGAGTCCTCAGGTATCCAGTCTCTACCTTGCCTAGGCCTCAAGGTTCAAGAGGCTGGGACCCTGCTACCAATGATGGAGAGGAACTTGAGTCTCTGATAGAGGAGGCAGGTGTCTTCAAGTAGGCTGCCCTCTGCCCAGGCTCAAGGAGCATCAGAGCCAAGGCTGAGACTCCAGGCAAGGCCCTTCCCTTAGTCTGCTTATTAACCTCTGTGGTTCTTGGAGCTGTCATGTGTTATTCCAGGGATACGAAACAGATTTGTTGGGTTAAGGGGCCCAGGTTGGGGTGGCAAGAAGGTAGTGTTGATTCATCGGGATAGGCAGATAGGCTTCCTTCCTGCAGAGAGCGGGGTCTCCCACAGTGACGAGCCCTCTCCTCCCCCCTCCCCTTTGTCTCTTCCATCTAGATTGACAGTGAGAATGAAGCTCTCTTGGCTGCTCTCACTAAGACCCTGGATGACATCCCTGAAGATGATGCGGGGCTGGCTGCCTTCCCGGAACTGGATGAAGGAGACACAGCATCCTGCCCCCTAGCTTCACCTGCCCCCTTATCTGCGCCCCCCAGCCCTGCCCTGGAGAGGCTTCTGTCCCCAGTGTCTGAAGTGGACGAGCTTTCACTGGTGAGGACCGTGGCCTGGGGCTGGTGTCAGATTGTAGAATAATGAGGGCTGAGCTGTCAGTTCCAGGCCAGTCAGGGTTTCTGCTGAGAGCTTAGGGTGCAAGGCCTCTGAGTTGGGCCTTATTACCCTTCCTGCCTGGACCATGGCATTAGACCTTGTTCTATTTCTATTTTAAACCCTAAAAATCACACGCAAACATTTTCCCGAAGATAACACGCGTAGGATAAAAACCCAAGTAGGAAACAGGAACATGGACAGTTAAAAGCAAAACCTCCTGAGCCCTCTCTACAATTGTCTTTTTCTTCCCCAGAGGTAACCATGGTTACTGATCTGTTACATGACTTTCCTTTTCACCTTTAAAAAAAAAAAAAAAAAACTACAAAACAACAGATCCTGCCTTTAGACTGTTCTGCACCTTGCTTTCTCACTGAGCTTCATATGTGTCCTGGAAACTCTTGAGATGAGTATGTAGAGCTCTGCCTCCTCCATGTCGACCGTGTAGTACTTCTAGGTAAGGATGTACCATCATTTAAACATTCCCCCTGCTGATGGAACATCCGTTGTCAACTGTTCCGTTGTCACACACAGTACTTCAGTCACTGGTTGCCTCATGTAAATAGATAAATACTAGAAATTTAATGTCTGGGTCTGTGGATACATGCTTGTTCCATTTCAAATAGATGCTTCTAGATTATGATTCAAAGAGATTGGGCCAGTTTTCACACCAATGAGTGCAAGTTAAATGCTTTCCATATGGGTGTGTGTAGAGTGTATGTAGAAGGGTGGGCTCTGACTGACCTTGCAAGGGTCTGGACCTCCCAAGTTACTGAGGATGCTTGTCCTGGGCACTGGCTGAGGATACCAAGTCCCAGGTACATGGGGTCAACTTTGTGCAGCTGCCGTGGGCTCCTCCCTTTCTTTGGAGCTCTAGCTTCTGGGGATTTAGAGCCTTTCAGAGCTGGGAGGACCCTTAGATCCTAGAAAGGCCCTTGGTGAGCATTGAATACTGCTCTTGGGGAAATTAAGGCCTAGGGGATGAGTCTCAAGGTAGGTTGGTATACCGACCAAGTTAGACCCCATGTGTACTGACTTGTGTGCTAGAGCCCTGGGGTTTCTTTTCTGCTGCCTTTGAGGCCTCAGAGCACTGGGGAGACATTTACCAAGTGCCTAGTGTGTCCCTGCCCAAATTGTGTTCAGTCTCCCAATATGGCTCCCTCTTGTGGGGTCCTACATCCTTCCAGGCTGGAAGAAGCCACTTAGATTTGAATCCCAGTTCTGCCTGTGAGAGCTTGAGGTCCTCAGGCATACACCCTCTCTTATCCTTTCAATGACTCAGCTTTCTGATCCATAGGAGTAGATTATAGGGCCTGGGTCAAAGGCTGTTGGGAGGATTACAGTGGGTGATAGCTGGGGAACATTTAGAACACTGCCTAGCACACAGGCCCACCTAGGACACAGTTGGCTGACTCAGAGCCCTGACAAGGCCATTAGTAGTAGAAATTCTCAGTGCTATTTCTGCACCAGGCTGCTCAGGAGGCCTTGTCAAGAGAAAGAGCAACCCCTGCTGGTCAAAAGTTGTCTCAGTCCTGAACCTTAGATTCTGCCTATACAGCATACTGGTTGCCAGGGTGGTTCTGTTTTCCCCGTAATAAGTTAGGCTTATGGGAAGTCAAGTCTCCCAGCATTCTGATAGTTCTGGGGGGGGGGGGGCAGAGAAGCCTTAAAGACCATAGACCTTGCCCTAGATTCCAGAGAACTGGCCTGTGGACTTGGAAGACCTGTGGACCTCTACAGATCTGTGCATATCCTGAAGTCAGCAGTGTCTGCTAGATGCTCAGAGGTGCTTTAAAAAAAAAAAAAAAAGTCTCAGATCTGGTGATTTTTGATGTCTCCCTTCCACTCCCATCTTTGTTTCAGTACAGAGAAGGAAATAGATTGCTCAAGGTGTTACCTGGAATGGGGCTGAGGTGGACTAGAGCCAGACCTCTTCCCTCTAGCCCAGAGTGGTGAGGTGTGTGTGTGTGTATTTGTGTGTTGTTTGTAGTCTAGGTAGGGTGTCAGGGATCCTCACTTACTCGGAATGTAGGGTGTGGCCTTTGTCTAGCTCTTGGGCCTTTGGTGCTCTCTGCTGGGGTGCTAGGAAGGCATGTTCCCCAGGAGACCCTCTGTATCATAGTACAATCCCAGGATACTTCTCAGCTCGTTCTCACCCTTGGCTGCAGTGCAGCCCGAAGATGTTTTCCTTCTGCCTCTTTGCTCTCAGGGCAGAGAACTATGCACTCTCCAGCAGGGACCTGAAGCAAGGGAGCTTCCATCATCTTTATTTTGAAAGTTATCGAGGGCTGGGGGGAGGGTAGCTCAGTAGGTGAAATGCTTGCTTGCCTGGCATCTTATGAAGCCCATAAAACGAGGTGTGCTGGTGCGTGACTGAAGACTCAGCACTTGGGAAGTGGAGGCAGGAAGCTCGGGAATTCAAGTCGTCCTTTCCTATGAAGATTGAGGTTAGCCTGGGCTACATGTGACCCTTCCCTCCTCCCCCCCACATAAACAAAAATAGGTGAAGAAAGGATAAATTAAAGGTTAGCATTAGTTTACTTGTATAGAAGAAACAGCTGAGTGGGTTGGAGGTATTATTACAATTCTTGTATGATTATGTACTCTTGTACAATTATATATTCTTGTATGATTAAAGCCCACCTCGTGAAGGCTCACAAAAAAATAGTGGGAGTTGCATGTGGGAAGGAGAAAGGACCTTGAGAAGAAAGGAGATTTGCATCTTTTAGGGGGACATTCAAAACAGAGTTTCTCTGTGTAGCCCTGGCTGTCCTGGAGCTCGCTCTGTAGACCAGGCTGCCCTTGAACTCACAGAGATCTGAATGCCTCTGCCTTCTTGGTGCTGGGATTAAAGGCGTACACCACCACTGCCCAGCCAGGAGTCTTGCTTTTAATAGTCTGCTCGAAACACACACTATACACAAACACACACACACACTAACATTAGTGAGTACTATGTACTTAATTTAAGAAATGCATTTTTAAATGTCATGGCCAGCTGGAATCCCAGATCAAGCATCATGTTGGTGTCTGGCCTCTCCATCAGTGCATCTATGTATGTATGCGAATGTGCCTGTTACAGTCACGTGCAGAGTGAACTGATGCTGTTCTAACAGTAGAACAAGCAGGCATCACCCAGAACTGTTCCCTTTGGGTCACTGACTGTGCTAACAGTGGGATAATGGTATTTGGGAGTTTGGTAGACAGCAATCTGTTTTCCCGGCCAGGGCATGGCCAGCTGGCATGTGGTGCCCTGTGGTCTGTGAGTGTGCATGGCCCTAGTCTTCTCCCCTCTGCCTCTTCCTAGCTGCAGAAGCTCCTCCTGGCCACATCCTCCCCAACAGCAAGCTCTGACGCTCTGAAGGAGGGGGCCACCTGGTCCCAGGCCAACCTCAGGTCCAGAAGTCAGCGGCCTTGTGTCAAGGTATTTCTGCACATGCCCAGAAGTGACCTGGGCCCCCAGGTGGCGGTCAGCTGTGGCTAGGAGTGGCAGACTTAGCCTACCTCAGTCCCCACCTCTGTCTTCACACAGCCCTGGCTAAGCTAGAATTCTGAGCACTGCTCCTTGAAACCAGAACAGTTGGAGGTTCTAGAAGAGCCCCATGCTTTCCCACACTTGAATGTTTCAGGCTGTGAGATCTTGACACATGTTAGAGCAGGAACAGGAAGGTGTGGCCTTCTACAGGGCTCAGGATCTAAGCCGGGGGCAGGGGTGGGGCAGATAGGAACGGGATCCTTCTTGGTTGTAGAGGCCACAGTCCATATCATACTAGGGTTTCAGGATTTCTTTTCTGAGGAGCTGCTGGCCACTCTAGAGCCTTGCACACAAAAGGTGACACCCATACCTGACCTGGCCCTATTTTTTATAGGGTCAAAGAAAGCTTTGGTGGATATCTAGAAGGGTCTACAGAGACTCTAAGGCTGGGAGCCCTGTAAAAGTCTAGCTACCTCTTTCTTCCTCACCAACTCAGTTTGCCAGGTGCCAGCCCTGCTGGAGGCTAGGGAAGAAGGGAAGGAACAGGCCGTTCCCACAATCCTGGAGAAAGGTGCTGGATCTGCTGGCAACTAGAACAGGCAGAGGGAGAAGCAGCGTGCCCTCCCTGACCGCTCTGGCATATTTCTTTCTCCAGGTGGATGGCAACCAGGATAAGAAGAGTCCCATGCTGCGGTCTCAGAGCCGGCCTTGTACAGAACTGCATAAGCACCTCACCTCCGTGCTGCCCTGCCCCAGAGAGAAAGCTTGCTCTCCAACCCCCCACCCAAGTCCTCAGCTCCTCTCCAAGGAGGACGAGGAGGTGGGGGAGGACTGTCCAAGTCCCTGGCCAGCTCCATCCTCTCCCCAAGACTCCCTAGGACAGGACAGGGCCAGCCCCAGCACTGTCCAGGCTCCCCAGGAGGATGTGAGGGCCATGGTACAGCTTATTCGCTACATGCACACCTATTGTCTGCCCCAGAGGAAGCTGCCCCAACAGGCACCAAATCTGGCCCCCAAGCCCTGCAGCAGCCCCTCCAGGCAGGCCCCACCCCGATCCTGGCATCCCCCCAAACCCATGTGGACTGAGTTCTCCATCCTAAGGGAACTTCTTGCTCAAGATGTCCCCTGTGATGTCAGCAAGCCCTACCGCCTAGCCACACCTGTCTATGCTTCCCTCACACCCCAGTCCAGGCCCAGGCCCCCCGGAGACAGTCAGGCCTCCCCTGCTCACTCTGCCATGGCAGAGGAGGTGAGGATCACAGCTTCCCCTAAGAGCGCTGGGCCTAGACCTAGCCTGCGCCCTCTGAGGCTAGAGGTCAAGCGGGATATCAGCCAGCCTGCCAGGCAAAAGCAGGAGGAAGAGGAGGAGGAAGAGGAGGAAGAGGAGGAAGAAGAAAAAGAGGAGGAGGAGGAAGAAGAATGGGGCAGGAAGAGACCAGGCCGTGGCCTGCCATGGACCAAACTAGGGAGGAAGCCAGACAGCTCTGTGTGCCCCGTGCGGCGTTCCAGGAGACTGAATCCAGAGCTGGGCCCTTGGCTGACATTCACTGATGAGCCCCTAGGTGCTCTGTCTTCAATGTGCCTGGCTACAGAGACCCACGACCTGGAGGAAGAACTGGGCAGTCCCACAGACAGCAGTCAAAACCAGCAGCTCCCCCAGGGATCCCAGATCCCAGCCCTGGAAAGCCCCTGTGAGAGTGGGTGTGGGGACACAGATGAGGACCCAAGCTGCCCACGGCCTCCTTCCAGAGGTAGTCTATGGTTCCCAAGAGAGGGTGGGGCGGGCATAGCATTCCCACTGGGAGCTGGGAGCACTGCATTCAAAGTCCGCAGTGTTACATGTTGAGTGAGGTTCCATCTGTCTGTCCATACTGCCCTTTCTGTATAGTGGGCTTTGGGGCAGATCATCAGGAAAACACCTGCTCATCTTCAAGATTTTCATCATGCATATCAAAGCATTGCTTAATGAACAAAGAACAAGAGGCCTGCCTGTATGGGGCTTATGTTTGGATAGAGGAAAGGGGAAAAAAAAAAAAAAGTAAACAAAGCTAGGCATGGTAACTGTGCTCAGGAGGCAGGGACAGGAAGAAAGTTTGAAGCCAGCCTGGGCTACATGTGGAAACCTGATTAAAATTAAAAACAAAACAAAACAAAAAAACAGAGACTGAGGCCAGAGGCTCCAAGCAGTTTAGTGAAGGACCCTTCACCAGAACCTTCTAGAGTCACAGCTTGGGCTTTTAGAGCCTTGGGCTCAGAATACCTGGCCACCGCGCTGTACTGTTTGGCCAGCAGGGAGTCACTTGCCCATCTGTTATTTCTGCAGCGTAAGGAGACCCACTGGCTGAGAACCAGCAATGTGAGTTGTATTTGAATTGCGCCTGACCCTTCCCTTAGGTGGCCAAGGCCATATGTCACCTTAAAGGGCAGCTGTGATTGGTGCCCCTGGAAATGTGAGGGCTCCCTGAAGAGGAGAGTGTTTGTGATGGTGTGTATGGGGAATCTTATTTTCTTTTTCTTTCTTTTCCTTTTTGTCTTTTCAGTCTCCCCCAGGTGCCTCATGCTGGCCTTGTCACAAAGGTAGATTTTTTAGAAATTATCAGTATATTATTCCATGAGATTTTTTTGTCTTGAATTTGTGCCTTTGAAAAGCCAGATGCGGTGGTGCACGCCTGTGATTCCAGCACTCAGGGAGGCAGAGGCGGGCAGACCTCTGTGAGTTTGAGGCCAGCCTGGTCTACAAAGCGAGTCCAGGACAGCCAAGGCTACACAGAGAAACCCTGTCTCAGGGGGGAAAAAATGTGCATTTGTGTGGGAGGTCATCAGCCCCTGAGCCTGAGCCTGACCCCATCCTCAGGACCTTATTGTTATTCAAGCCCTCAGGATTCAGACGCCCTTCAAAGGGAGTGTGTTTTAAAATGTAGCCTCTGTGAGCTGAGGGGAAAGAGGGGGTGTCAAACCATTTCATGAGCTGTCATCTCCAAGATTCTGAAGAGTGTTCCTTGGGGTGGGGGCTGGAGGCCTCCAATGCTGTAGTTCTAGGAGCAAGTTCCTTCCCTCCCTCGGCCTCAATTGCTCCATCTATGGAGCAAGGAATCTACATCAAACTTTGCCTGAACCTTCCAAAAACTGCAACTTGAGTTCAACAACCAGGATGGGGCCCCTTTCCATGACAGTCCTGGGGTCTATCATAGTTACCCTTTGCTCTCTTCAAAAGTCTGGGCTCATGGAAGCCTCCTATTGACCAGCCTCTTCCCTTTCTGTCTTCCCTGTCTCTACCAGTCACCCTCTTGGCAAGAAGAGCTTTGAGGAGTCCTTGACGGTGGAGCTTTGTGGCACGGCAGGTGAGCTAGGGGTTCAGCTGCTGGGGTGCCTGCGGGGAGCTGGAAAGGCCCTAGGCAGGAACGCTGCCTCATGAACTACCTGAGCATTGAGATGCATGGGGAGCATGCTGGGAGGAGGCCAAGGTCTGGGGCCAATCCTTCCACTGCTGGTACCAGCAACTGAGGTGCTACCAAGGTCAGAAAGCAAAGACACAGCTCTGGAGGAAACTGCTGTCTGGTGGGGCTAACTCCTCAGGAGCATGGTTAGCTGTGTGCTCATTTCTGCTCATTAGCTAATGTAAGGTCAGTGTGGCCTGGTCAGACAGTGGAGTATCTAGCACAGAGATCACTGAGAGGTTGAAGGACCAACAGGCGTTGGGAAGACAAGGAAGGGTGTGCTTAGCCGCAGAACTAGTTGAGTAAAGATGGGACAGAATGCAAGTACAGGGCACATCTGAGATGCTGGTCCCTGGTCCTGCCAAAAGGAAGAAGTAGGGATGAAGGAAGGGAGAACAGACCCAAAGGACCAAAACATAGAGGGGCCTGATACCCATCCTGTAGGTTTTGGAAGGCACGGAGAGAGAAGGGTGAGCATTTTAGCAAGTTCCTTTGGTGTTCTGGGAAGAACAGAGCACAAAGTCAAATCAAGTAGCATCGGGGACACTGAGTGGGTGGTTTTACCAGTGACACCTGCCTTCTCTGTGCTGGGGTACCCCTGAGGCAGGGGTCTTTAAAGGATTGGCAGTAGTGTGGGATCAGATATCTCTGACCTGGACACATTGGCTGCCATTACCAAGTCCCAAAAGGATGGTCATTGCCTCTCGTCTCATGCCAGCTCCTAAGAACAGGAGGGTTCTTATAGGCCATATACAGGCTTAGGCAGCAGTGCGGTGACCAGTTCGTAATGCCTGCCCTCCACCCATAGGAATGTGGCATGAAGCCACTTGTTTGTCCTCTCAAACGGATCTCTTAATATCCTCTGAGGAGACCTGCCTTTCCCTCACCTGTTTCTCCTCTTACCTGGGTAGGACTCACCCCACCCACCACACCTCCATATAAGCCCATGGAGGAGGACCCCTTCAAGCCGGATACCAAGCACAGCCCAGGCCAAGACACAGCTCCCAGCCTCTCTCCCGAGGGCCTTCAGCTCACAGCCACCCAAGGGACCTCCCACAAGCTGCCCAAAAGGCACCCGGAGCGAAGCGAGCTCCTGTCCCACCTGCAGCATGCCACAGCCCAGCCAGTCTCCCAGGCTGGCCAGAAGCGTCCCTTCTCCTGCTCCTTTGGAGATCATGACTACTGCCAGGTGCTCAGGCCAAAGGCTGCCCTGCAGAGGAAGGTGCTTCGGTCCTGGGAGCCAATTGGGGTTCACCTTGAGGACTGGCCCCAGGAGGGTGCCACTCCACCAACTGAAACAAAGGCCCCTAGGAAGGAGGCAGACCAGGGCTGTGACCCTATCCCTAAGGACAGCATGCAGCTGAGAGACCATGAGATCCGTGCCAGCCTCACAAAGCACTTTGGGCTGCTGGAGACTGCCCTGGAGGATGAAGACCTGGCTTCATGTAAAAGCCCGGAGTACGACACTGTATTTGAGGACAGCAGCAGCAGCAGTGGCGAGAGCAGCTTCCTGCTAGAGGAGGAAGAGGAGGATGGAGCAGAGGAGGAGGATGAAGGAGAGGACTCAGGGGTCAGCCCTCCCTGCTCTGACCACTGCCCCTACCAGAGCCCACCCAGTAAGGCCAGTCGGCAGCTCTGTTCCCGCAGCCGCTCCAGTTCTGGCTCCTCATCCTGCAGCTCCTGGTCACCAGCCACCCGGAAGAACTTCAGGTATGCTTGGTGTCCCTGGGAAGGGGGATATCTGAGCACCCACTAGGTGCTAAAGGGGAGGAGCCCTAGGAACTTGCTTTGAAACTGGGATTGCATCTCTGTGTGTGGCCCCAGTCCTGGTCAGAAGCCGTGAGATGGGCTCCCCAAGAGTGGGGCTATCCAAAGCAAGTAAAATTCTGGCAGAAACTGTTGAAAAGAAAGAAACCCCACTTTCTGGCCACCTGCGACTTTATAGCCTAATGAACTTGACCCTTGTTTTCTCCTTTGTATTTGTCAATGGATAAATTTTTACACAAACAGACACACATAGTTGAAAGGTAACATGATGTTAATGTATAAAAGAAAGATCAAGTAGTGTAATTTCTATCTATGTTCTGAAAAACACCCGGGCGCAAGCAATGCTCAAGTTTACTCCTAAGCTTGGTCCTGCATTATTTGCTGCTGTAAGCAGACCCTTAAAGACCCCAGGGAGGAAGGAGATGGTGCATCATGAGCTAGTGTGAGCATCCCATCTTTGAGCACTGGACATGGAAAAGGACACTATGACAAAAAGCAACTCGCAGAGGAAAAGGGTTTATTTCATCTCACAGCTCTCAGGTCACTCTTCCATTACCGAGGGAAGTCAAGGCAAGAATTCAAGGCAGGAACCTGGAGGCAGATTTGGGTGAGAGCAGTTTCTACTCCCTCTCATCACAGCAGCTCATGGCTCTAGCTTTGTCCTGGGGTGGCTCCAGAAAGATTTAGGAGTTTCCCAGCCCTGCGCTTGAAGTTGCTTGAGTGGCCACTAGATGGCACTCTTCAGCCTGGAGCAGAGCCGTGGCATTATCCGGGTAACTTGGGAAGATGCTGCTGAGAGGTTGAGTCTGTGGACACGGATAATTTGCATTTCTAAGATGCTTCCAAGCATTCCGAGATCAGAATTCAGATCTTATAAATACCCTTTTGTAGACAGAGTCAGCTTTATATGCTCTTTGAAGATCCCAAAAAAGCAAAGGCCCCTCTGCTTGTCAAACTGTACATACACATAAGTTTTAGCGGGGAGGGAGTTCATGAATGCCCCACAAACAAGTGTGAAGAAGTACTAAGTTATCTGTTACTACAAATGACTTTGCCTGAGGTTTCACTTAAAAGCTATCAGCCCGGCTGTTCCACAGAACTCTCAAGGCTTACTTTCTGGTTCTTTTATACTCTCCCAGGAGTTTGGAAGTGAGACACCTCCCTCTGCAAAGGTTTGTTTCTAATGCCACTGAGTTTTTCCCAGTGTGGAGCCCATTCCTCAGGGCCAGCACTAGGTAGGCACTTCCTTTCCCACCTAGCTCATGCATTTAAACAGGGGTCTGCATTCCAGAGCCCCGAAAGTTGAGGCCAGACCTTCCCTGAGACTATAGATTCCCTATTTTCTCTTCTCAGATGTAGGCACAGTGTAGGCCTGGCCATTTCTGTTTACTGGACAGAGTGACTTGGTTATACTAGTTCCTGCTCAATTGTCCACAGAGCTATGTATCTGAAAAACCTGAAAGCCTGAAAAACCATCCCTCAGCCTTCTCTAGACCTACCTTCTTTGCCATTGTTCAGCTGAGAGCAGTTGAACAATGCCATTTCCATGCTTCCCATCCCAGCAACCCAGAAGGGAAGCCACACCAACTCTGGGCTCAGTGAACGACAATCCTTGACTGACTAGTGCTTGGAAGTCATGAGTTACATTTCCTTCTGTTATTCTGTTTGAGCTTCACAGATGCAGATGGAGGATATGTGCTTCTTTTTTGTTTTATTTTTTTTCGAGACAGGTTTCCTCTGTGCTGGAACTCACTCTGAAGACCAGGCTGGCCTCAGACTCAGCGATCTGGGCTGCCTCTGCCTCCCAAGTGCTGGGATTAAAGACATGTGTCACCATCATCTGGCCACATGTTTCTTACTTCCATTTTATTTTATTTTATTCTTGTAGATGAGGAAGCTGAGACCAGAGAAGGTAAATAGAGAGAGAAAGAGAGAGAGAGAGCAGGCATGTACTGAGCAATACCAATCAAAGCACTTAAGTAAATTTTATTTACTGCTCACAATGGCCGAGGAGGTGAGCACAGTTGGGTATATACCTATTTTGCAGATGGAGAAGTAAGTTGAACAGATTGGTAGACTGAGCCAAGATCACCCTCCATAGGGAGATAGTAGAACTAGGGCTTAATTAAGTTTAGGCTCGGTGGTTCAAAAGCTCATGTTCTTCTAAGCTGTATTTTTTTTTTTTTAAAGACTCATATGGGGAAGGGCAGACCCTGGGTGGGGCTGCAATCCCTTGAGGACAAGAGAAGATGATGAACTAACTCTACAGTGGCCGTGACTGCTCCAAGCTGGAGTAGCCAGTGGCAGCAGAGGCTTTAGTGTAGGCCGGACTCCAGATCTAGCTTCTCCTACTTCTGAGTTTTGAACAAATCCTAGCTGGAACCTGAGCCTTGGACTTTCTTTTGAAAAATGGGAATATATAAGACCTCCGGGGGTTCTTCTCATCCAATCAGTAAGTCAAGGAAGTAAAAGGGCCTTTCTACCCCTAACAGCAGAGAAAGGTGAGGCCAGGGAGGTCAGGGCCAGAATTAGTATGGGAGATTCCCAGTCATCTCAGCCTGGGAGCCGGCAGAGGGCAGCTGAAGAGTGTCCAGTCACAGTCAGGGCTGGGCTTCTGCAAGAGTGAGACTGAGCACTGTGCCTTACTTGTTCACTGACAGGCGTGAGGGCAGAGGGCCCTGTTCAGATGGAACCCCAAGCGCCCGGCATGCCAGGAAGCGGCAGGAAAAAGCCATCGTAAGTGATCTGGGGTCCCTGGGCCTAGAATAAATGGGGGCAAGCCAGGGGCATTAGGAAATGCTAAGCCCACCAGCCTTCAGCCCCTGTCTGGGGAATAATGGACTGTAGCCTGCATGTAGGATAGGACTATGTCTTACTTGACAGTAACCAGGGTAACCAAAAGCCATTACAGGTAGCACCATGCCAAACCCAGCACTTGATTGGCTGTTGTATGCAGTGGGTAGCCCTTTAGGATTCAGCCTCAGGGACTCTGAAAGAATCAATAGAAGATGGCATGACTTGAGCAGAAACAGGCTTGGCTGGCCAGGTTGTAAGGTCTTCTGTGTGACCTTGGGCAAGTTGTCCTAAGATTCCTAGCTTCCCTGAGCCTCAGTTTATCCATAGGAGAGTTGGGCCTTTGCTTCGTAAGTGGTTCCTCAACAAGCCTGTTCTGTTCTCTCCACCCACCTTGAGCATCCTCCCAGAGCCTGCCGCTAGACCCAGGGGTTGCCACAAAGGAGTCCCTGGGGGCCTTCAGTGTGCTTGGGCCAGCCAGTGGTGTCATAGCCCTGGAAAGGAGGGAGGGGAGCTATAAGAGAAACACAAAAGAACAAATAGCCTCACTGTGCCATGTTTTGGGAGGTGGGTGTGTGTGTGCACAGCCCTGTGCAACAGGCACTTAAAACCACAGGTGAAGCCAGGCATGGTGGCATACACCTTTAATCCCAGCACTTGGGAGGCAGAGGCAGGTGGGTCTCTGTCAGTTCAAAGCCAGCCTGGTCTACATAGTGGGTTCCAGACCAACCAGGGCTATGTGGTAAGACCCTGTCTCAAACAAAACCAAACCAAAGGGGAACACAGTCTTATTGGGTTAGGTAGTTTGACAAACCTGGCATAATCTTGGGCTTCAGTTGACAGCCATATAAAGCAAATCAAGTCCTTAGTCCTGTGGTTGAGACAGAAAAGAGAGAAAGACAACAGACTCATAACAAAGGGAAGTTGGTAGGATTAAGGATTGATATAACTCCTTGCGAGTGACAGTCCTGACTAGAATTTGAAGCACTGGGATAATATATTTTCATTGGTGACTTGTATCCATAAGAAGCTTGGGGATAAAGGAGTAGCCAAAAGTATTCAGGGATGGATCCGGATGGTATGTCAAAACAGACTTCATGACCATGTATGAGGTCCTGTTGTAGAGCCTGGTTCTGGCGTTTCTTTCCTGCCATCTGTGGATGGTGAATGGGCTGTGTGTGTGCCTAGAGAAAGCCTATCTAGGCCACACACTGCCTCAACCCACTAGAGCACAGGTATCCAGGCAACAGCCTCAAGTCCGTCAAATCACAAATCTCGAAAGAGAGGCAGGAGCTTGCAGCCTGGCCTCCCTGACCATTTCCTCTGCCTGTCTTATCTGCAAACCTACTAGCATCTAGCATAGAGCCAAACTCTCCTGAAGGTGACCTGTGGGTGCCTTGTCTGTGCTATGGCTTCATCCAGCTTTCTCTTGTAAACTCAAAGATAAAATGGTGGCTCCCATGGCCCTGATATGCCTGTCTTATTATCTTCCCTTCCAGAATACTCTGACCCCTACAAACCACCAGGTCCCCCAGTATGTTGTCCTCAGCGGTTTTGCAGCCTCAAAACAGTGCTGAGCAGAACATGTAGCTCCCTGATGATGCAGCTCCTCTCTGCCCAGTCTCTGCTCAGCCCCTCCATGCAGGTTGTTATCCCGGGGTGGGGGGGGGGGCTGTTTCCCCTGTACTCAGTGGTCCCTGCTCCAACAAGGGCAGGTCCTTCGGTACAGAGGTTCGCATGGTCCTCTCTCTGACTCCAACAAAGTTGGTGCTCAGCCAGGCCTACACAGAGACTCTGTGAGAGTAACAGTGGGGTCCCTCTCTGTCCTCCATCATAAGCAGGGTGAAGGCCGTACGGTATACATTCGAAATCTCCCCAGTGACATGAGCTCCCGGGAACTGAAGAAGCGCTTTGAGGTCTTTGGCGAGATAGTAGAGTGCCAGGTGCTGACAAGAAGTAAGAGGTGAGCTGGGGGGCAGCCATTACAAATGGGGTAGGGTAGGGAGGTGAGAGGGAGCAGGGAGCTGGTGGGAGAAGGTTAGGAGAAGGACCGTGATGATTTAAAACTGGTGACAGACCTGAACCCTCCCGACATGTGACCCAGCACCGCAGTGTCCATGCTTTCTGTCAGCTAAACATTTGATATATAAAACCCAGCCATTCTTATTCTTTCTGCTGCTTTCCTTTCTGAGGGGATCTCAGACAAGTTAACAGGGAAGAGCTGATGCCCATGTGTGCTTTGAGGCCTTTGTTCCAACAACCATGCAGGCCAAGGAATGTCCTTTAACAGCTTGAAGATGCTTGTTTGGGGACCTCACTGTGGCCCTAGGGGAGCAGGTTTTTATTTGTAAGGGAATTTGCAAAAAGTCCAAGTTGCATAGGAATGTTCAATATAGATGCCATAGCTTTGTTGATTTGAAAGCATTTCCAAATTATCTGTTATCATACCTGCAAAAAAAGTAAGTTATTAGTATCTTTAAATTCTGATTTAACAGAAATAATCATAATAAAGAGCTTTAGCCAGAAAGTAGTCTCTTGTGTAACTGTTATTCCATACCAAATAGTGGAATATAAAATAACATCGTTAATATGGAAAACACTCTAGCTGTTTCTTAAAATAAGCATAAGCTTTTGTGTTATCTATTATATAATACTGTAAAATAGAATACATTATTATAGAATACTATAAAATAAAATACTATAAAATAGAATAGTAATACCTTCAAAAGTGTGTAATATGTAACATACACTTTTGTGCATAGTAATATATTCAAAATAATCGCAAACAGGATTACAAAGAGATACTAGTCACCCATGCTCATAGCACAAAACAGCAGAGAGATGAGAGTAATCCAAATGCAGTGTGAATGCATAATAGAGTATTATGCAGTCCTAAAAAAGAAGCAATACATGATTTACATAGATGAATCTATATGCATATCATTTAAAGGCATTTGCTAAGGGCATGGGCTAGTCCCAAGAGGACCAATGCTGTATACTCATGCTTACCTTATGTACCTAATAGAAACAAAAAGTGAAATGATTGCTGTTGGAAGCCCAGGGATAAAAGTGAGATGCTGTGTAATGGATATAGGTTTGTGTTTTCGAAGATGGAATATGTTCTGTAGATCACATAAGGTATGGCAGTCCACACCTGTAATCCCAGCGCTTGAAAGCTGGAAGCATGGGGACTGAGAATTTAAGGACAGTTTGTTTACAGAGCAAGCCTCGCCTGGGCTACATAGTAACGCTCTATCTCAAAAAAAAAAAAAACAAAAAAACAAAAAAACAAAAAAACATTTTTCTAGAGTCTCAGTGTTCAACAATGTCTGTCTACTTAACACTACTCAGCTATACAGTTGAAAATAGTAACTTTTATGTTATGTATTTTTACCACAATCCTTTGAGTCACTTCACAAATAGAAGTTTGCAAAGTTTTATGCAGTTGCCACGATTCCATGCAAACATGGAGAAAGAAAGCAGTCTCTAAAGGAAAGGCTTAGTTTGCCAAGAGTGTAAAAGGTGAACAGCCTCCTTAAAGGGGAGGCCTGGACATTTGTGCAGGTAAAGATGGGTCTGAAACATCAGCAGGATTGGGTAAAGGAAAGGGCAAGTTGGCAGCCAAGGAAGTGGAGGCTGAAGCTATCTTTGAAGGGTCTAGAGCAGTGTCTTAACCTATGGGTTGTGACACTTTCACAGGGGTCACATATCAGCTATTCTGCATATCAGGTATTTGATTATGATTCGTAACAGTAGTAAGATTACAGTTATAAAGTAGCAAAGAAAACAATTTTATGGTTGGGGGTAACGACAACACGAGCAACAGTATTAAAGGGTCACAGCGTTAGGAGGGTTGAGAGCTGCTGCTCTAGAGCAGAACCAAGGGGGTGATGAGGGAGAACAGGGAAGCTTTAAGAGCATTAGCTTCATGACCAGGAGGTCTTGTCAGAGTTCCTGCTGAGTCCTATGCCATTGGGTAGATGCTAGAGCCCTGAACTCCACAGGGCCTGTTTTTCCTGGGGAGGCAGCCATGACAACACTCCCTCACAGGATCATCTGAATAGAACACCATGCATGGTGTCCAGCAACCGTCAGCCATCCAGCAGTTCAGCTGTGCCTGCTGTCTTCCCACTGAAAAGGCTGGCATGTGACATGGTGCTCTGCTCTGAATCCTGTGGTGTGTGCTCGTCAGTCATCTACCAGGCTGGCTAGAACATCCTCTCTTACCCTATCCTCTCCCTCCAGAGGCGAGAAGTACGGCTTCATCACCTTCCAGTGTTCAGAGCACGCTGCCTTGTCTGTGAGGAATGGCGCCACCCTGAGGAAGCGCAATGAGCCCTCCTTCCACCTGAGCTACGGAGGGCTCCGGCACTTCCGCTGGCCCAGATACACTGACTATGGTAAGAGAGCAAAGCCTAACTGGGTTGTAGCATGAGGAACAGTGATTTCCTTTAATGACATGTAGACGAAAGGCCCCTCTGGACACGGCCCCGTGTCAAACTCCTGCCCACTCTTATCCCACCGCTGTTCTGTCTCGGGCCACCTCTTGCTTCTCTTCTGGTCTCTGGTCCTGTGAGTGGCTCTAACCACAGAGTCACCTCCCTGTTCTGACAGGAAGGTGCGCTCTGTGCTCTCAGCCACTCAGCAGCACCATGGCTGTCCAGCCTCCTTACGTTCATTCCTGTGAGCAGGCAGCAGCTTGGCTGTTGATAGATGGCAGTGTGGCTGCACCGTCATCATTGCCATTCGTGCGCAAGTCGGTGGAAGACAAAGACATGTGACAGAGAAGAATGGTTCGTAGAGGAGAGCCCACGGCAGCCTTTGTGAGACTCAGTTTTCTCATCTGTGTGAGAGAGATTGATTAGCGTTTTCTGTGACTGACTAGTTAATAGTGTATCATGTGGCATAGTTGGTGGGAGGGTGTTGAGGAAAGTCCATTTTTAGGATGTTGGCTGGAAACCAGTTGTAGAGTGACCTGTTCTGGGACCCGTTGCTCTATAAGAGGACCATTGAAGCCATGAGATCTTGTCAACATGGAAGAAATGTCACAGCAGGATGGCAGTTGGTGCTGTGATAGTGCCCACTCCTGCACTGTGACACCCTGGCCATCCAGTTCCATCAGGCCCACCCTCAGTGGCAGATTTGCTGCTTGGGACTGAGTTTCTCACCATCTTACCTCTCACTGGCCCACAGATCCCACATCCGAAGAGGTCCTTCCCTCATCTGGGAAAAGCAAGTACGAAGCCATGGATTTTGACAGCTTACTGAAAGAGGCCCAGCAGAGCCTGCATTGATATCAGCCTTAACCTTCGAGGAATACCTCAATACCTCAGACAAGGCCCTTCCAATATGTTTACGTTTTCAAAGAAGTAAGTCTATGAGAAGGAGAGCGAGCCAATGAGCAAGCGTGAGAGAACACACGTGAGAGAGAGAGACTTGAATCTGCTGTCGTTTCCTTTTAAAAACAAATCAATGTTTACATTGAACAAAGCTGCTTCTGTCCGTGAGTTTCCATGGTGTTGATATTCCACTGCCACATTAGTGTCCTCGCTTCCAGCGGATCGTCCTGGGTGCACCTCAAAGTGCTGTCAGTCATCCTCTGCCCCTCCCACCCGACTGACTTCTGTCCGTAGACTTGAGCCGTGTTCGCCATAACATCTTCTGTCTGTAGCGTGTGATGATGAAATAGAATCAGGATTAGAAACTCATTTTTAATTGAAGAAAAAAAAAAAGTATATCCTTAAAACAAATGTATTTATGGCTCAGCTATCCTGTGCCTGGGATTATCGTATTGCTTCCTTGACTGTTTAACTATGCACTGTCACGAGGTGTTTGCTACTCAGCTGCGCTGCTCCCCTGGCCATGTAGTCCTGGAGGTGCTGGGTGGCCCCTAGGTCCCCAGAAAAGAGCGGCTTGCAGTCACAAGTGTGAAGAAGAGAGAGGTGTCCAGCTATCTTCTATCAAACACCGGGGTCTCTTCCTTTGAGTGAGCGCCACTCAGGTTGTAATAAGGATCCCTTTTCCCTGTCTGACTCACTTTTGGAGAGTGCCTGTCTCTAGTGCTCAGAGCCTTGAGTGCCTATAAGGTGGGGCAAGCCGTGTTAGACCCATTCCACAGGGAAAGAGGACAATGTCCTGAGAGGTGAAATGTCTTGCCCAAGGGAGCAGACAGAGCTGCAGTCCACACCATGCCCCCCGACTCCTGGCCCCAGCCTGCTGCTGCAGTTAGCATAAAGATGCAAAGGTCAGAGGCTTAAAGAGTGGAATTAGGTAAATTGAGCAGTAGGCTAGAAGCCTAATAGCTCATTTAAGAATTAGGCCCCAACAGTTGACTCACCAGCGCGAAGGCAAATGTAAGCTTCGGCACAGGCTCGGGTCTCCTTCAGCTTTGGTCCTCAGTGTCCTGTGACTTACCCTTCCTGCGGATAGCCCTCAGGCTCTGAGACACCTGCCAGTGGCACACAGACATCACCCAGGAGCAGCCATTTGGGGCAGAGAGGGCAACTGGCAGCCTCTTCTATATTCTACTGTTGTCCGTGCCTGTCCCTGCTCTGTAGAGTTATATATAGGTGTTGAGTGAGGAGGTTGTACAGGTTGGGGGTGGACAAGGCACTCGCAAGGAACATTCACAGTGGGGTCTTCCTTGAACCGTTCTTGACTACCGTCAAAGCCATATCCAGTGTGACATTCCCTGGGTTCCCAGGGGGTCGTTTGTATGGAGAACTAGCTGGGCAGAGTATCCGTTCTAATGCTTCATATAGATCAGTTCCTCCTTGGTCTTGTGACATTTTCTTCCTTTCTTTCTCCAGTGTTCTACCAAATAAGGATGTTTGATAAATGACTCATCATTAAACTAACTAGGCTAAATTAATCAGCTGCTAAAGCCAGGCTTATTCCTTTGAGAATTGGTTAATATATATTTTTTTTAATATTATCAAATACCTCAGTAGAGAAAGTGAGGCCGTGCTCTCATGCTTGGTGTTCAGAATACTCCCCACCCATAGATAAGGCTGGAAAAGACCGGCTTTAGTGGGAATAGGGAAACAGAGTATCTGTGTGTCAGATTCTCCCTAAATCCCAGTTGACCTCCCTAAATCCCAGTTTCCTTTCCTGTGAAATGGACTGAGGAGCACAGCTAAACAGCAGAAGTCTTAACTGTTTAGGCGGTGTCTAGCCACAATTGTGACTCCCACAACCGATGCCAATGCAGACATAATTAACTGATCATAACACTAATTTTTTTTTTTTTTTTTTTGAGCCTGGTTGTCCTATTAGAATCCTCGACACAGTGCTCTGGAAGGCATTAGTAATTGGCCAGTGTTTAATTTAATTGACATCCTGGTCTACTTTTTGAAAGGCTACTATTGTAGAGCCATATGCTAGCTGGTTTTTATGCTGGCTCGTCCCTGTCATGACCTGATCCATGGTGAGGAGTTGGGGAGGGTGCCCTTGAAACCATTACTTGGCAGAAGACTCCCAATACTATTACAAAATGCAATAGTATAGAGAGGGGAGGGGTGGAATAGCAAGCAGGAACAGAACTGTAGAATGTGTGGCTTCTAAGGATAGATCCAAAAAGGGACTTTGCACAGCACAGAGCCAATCGTTCTGAATTCCTTTAGAGTTGTTCATTTCCTAACAGATGGTAGGCACATGGAAAATGGGTATGGAATGGAACAGAATTAAAGTTCTTCAGTTGCATCCACTAAAACTTGGGCTCTTATCACAGGGAAAGCTAGTGTTTACTGAAATCGTCTGCTGGGAAAGGGACTAGATTTAATCTAGGGAACCATTTGAATTCTGACCACCACCAAGGGACTTTTGTGGCTTTTAAGTCCCTTCTTCCTGGACCTCAGAGTGTAGGAGTTGTCCAGGGAACCCTGGGCTCTTAACTGTTTGCTTCTGCAGTTACACTGGGCCAGATGATGGTTTCTGGGGAAAGAACAAATTCTTAATAAATCCTAAGACTTTTTCTCCCTAGCCAGGGTTAACTGGAGCTGCCCAGTCATTTCACTCTCTGGCACTCAAAGTCACTTAGATGTGGGCTCTTGAGCAGAACAGAACCTTGAGCCTTGCCCTGGGGCCTAATGAACCAGAGGTCATTGGTGGGAGCTGATGCCCCCCCAATACTTTCTGGTATTCTCCACTCACCCTTCTATGAAAATGGGCTACCAGCTCTGCAGATGACCATCTCTCTCTGGAAGATTCACTCGGTGCTGCACGTAATTTACCAAGGAGACTGTCAGGCCCCTCCAAGACTAGGAGTCCATCTTGGTCTCTTTCCCATCAAGTCAAGAAGTCACCCAGAGGGAGCAGCTGCTATTGGCAACCATCTCGTTGTAGCTGTCCTCATGTGTCTCAATGATGTTTACGTGTAATTGACATACAGCTTCCTATAGACTGTGTTGACAGCCGCCCAGGGAGGGCAGGCATCGTGTCATCTTTGTGCTGTGCTGGTGTTTTCTAGAAATGTCCAACCCAACCACTAAGTGGAATTCTTTCATCTCCTTCCTCAGTCAGCACAAGGCTGAATCAGAGTCCTCTCTCAGGAGGACTCTGTTACCGAAGGAAAATGCATCAAATAGATTAAGAATATGAGTGGATGGAGTGCAGCTAAGATCCCTACTCCCCATCCCCCTGACATACATTATGGCCCCAACTAGAAAAATGCTTTGAGTCAAGAAGTCCCTTTCCTATGCCTGTGTGTATCTGTTGATCTTTTAGAATCTGGTGAGCAGCAAGCCTCCAGGGCTGGGAGGAGTGCCTAGAGCCAGCCACAAAGACTTGGCCCTCAAGTCCTAATGTGGGAAGACATACAGTAAGATGTCTTTGTGACCTCAAGTCTTACAGGTCAGTGTTTTGGGGAAGAGGTGATATGCCTGCCATGGCCACTGTGCAGGTGGTAAATGGAAAGAAAGCTCAGGCATCCCACTCTTCTTGCATGGCCAGCTCTATCTAGGGTCTGTCCCAGTCTTTGAGGTGAGTTCACCTCTCGGCTGACCCTGCTGCCACAGAGGCAAGGGCACTTCTCCATGAGCCAGAGCCACCCTTAGAGGGTGTGTTGATGAGACTCACTGAGGTCAAAAGTATTTTTCTTAATGTCTGATTTCCAGCGGTTGTTATCAGCTTGAGAAAGCCATATCCCAGTGTCACACGTGACAGTGGAAAGGGGTTGGGTGTGTAATGGTAAATAGAGTGAACCTGTTGGTTTCGTTAACCAAAGAAAAGGGATCCCTTCACCCTTCTCGATGGGGTAGAAGGAAACTAACTAGTGCTTATGTGCAATATGTTGACACTGCTCTCCAAATCCCTGAGGGTTTTGTGCACAGATGAGCTCCAGGGTTGTTTGAAGAGTCTGGGGATACAGGGTAAGTTAAGGGGGAGCCTGGGATAGAAAGTTCCATGCACAGAGATGGCCTTGGCCTAGAACAGATGGGAGTGTGGGCTGGGTGCCCTGCCTAGCTGCGAAATGCTGGAACACCCAGGAAGTAGCTAGGCAGATACTTTACACTAGTGAAAGAAAGCACTTTGAGAAACCTGACACTTCAGCCTTGCTCCACACTCTCCTCTGGCAAATATGTGTATCCTTTATCTGTGTGAGGTGCTGTCCTAAAGGCTGGGCTGGAGATGGGTAAGGGGGGCTAGTGTAAGAAGGAACATAGAGGCATCTTTCAAGGCAGTAGTCAAAGAGAGCCAGCCCTCAGTCGCCTTCTTCACTAGAAGCCCAAGAAACAGAATGATGGGTTTACATCTTGGTACCCACTGTTGTAAAAACTGAAATCACAGCCTAGTCAATTGCAATGCTTTGTGGAGCAACATTTCACTATAAGTTTCTTACTTGCTGTGTGACCTTAGGCCCCTGAGCTAGCAAATGAGGCTGTCCATGGAAGCCCAGAGTTCCACTCCCTGGCTAGCTCAGGGTGTGTGTGTATGGGGGAGGGGCACTTTCTGCAAGGTAAGCAGCCTCCAAGCAGAATGAGATCCACACAGTCCTGGCTGAGGTGCCTTTTATGAAGAGGCTAGCTCCCCAGGACAGATCCAAGCCATAGTTTCTTGTGGGGTGGTAAGGAATTAACTAACCCTCGCTGACGATTTCTCGTCTCACCTTAGCCTTCTCATCATCCCCACCGAACAGCTTTTAATCTGAATGTTGTGATCACTTGGCCGTTTCTCGCTTGCTTGCAGACGATACTAGCAATACACTTGTTTTTCCCAAGCAGCTCAACTTCGACAGTTTTCACACACTGCTTTCAGATGATTGTAAAATCTGTGGGACAGCAGGAGGCATGGATCACACTGCATATGTTTAGGGCAGCTTTTGGGGTTTTATTTTTTGTTTTTTTGTTTTTAATCTTTAATGGCATAGTAGCGGTGACCACGCCTTTGAGATTTGGGAAGACAGATTTTTCACAAAGCCATTTCATTGGAATGCCATGGACATCCAACTGCCCAGACTTGAGGCCCCTGCAACATACGGTTTCTAGATGGTCAATCTCTACAACGTCTCCTTCAAAAGGTATTCATGTGGCTACAATCCCTCCGTGCCATTTTTTTTTTTTTTTTTTTTTTTTTTTTTTTTTTTTTTTTTTTTTTTGGTCAAAGGATTCTCCAAGGAAGCCTTAACAAGCGTCCTTTTTCCCTTTGCTGGCCTTGGGTAGTGTCCTTGTGGAGGAGATTGGCCAGCACTTTGCCTTATCAATGTGTGGTCGCCAACTTAGTGGCCAAAGACTAGTGTCCACCAGCCACCAAGATGGAAGGCAAAATAAGTTCCTTTGGTCCGCCAACGTTAACCTGGCAGTGAAATACAATGGCACAAATGAGTCGTCTCCTATGTTCAGTAACAACTTGAAAAATCAGCAGCTAGCTAGCTGCTTGTGCAGTCCAGAAAATGAACTAGTTATCCTGTTGTAGAGGAGAAGGGGTTGAATCCTGCACCTGGGCATCCAGAGGGGTTTACTGTAACTGCAATACTGGCAGCCCAGCTGCCAACCTTGTTAAGTGAACCTCTGCTGGGTGGCACACGTGCTGCATACCGGACAAGTGGAGAAACTGCATATGAGGATTGGGGGAGAAGGGGCCCTGGCCATGACCTTTGATATGGTCCACTGAATAGCCAAACAGGTTTTGTGGTTTGTTTGTTTAATTTTTTTTGTTGTTGTTGTTTTGTGTTTTAAAATCTTGTCAGATGTTTTTGTGTATACGTGTATACATGTTAGGAATAATAAGTCATAAACTATTCCCGCCTTGGCTTCTGAAGGGGTGTTCTGATTTCCAATTGAAACAGGTTGGAAATCTCAAGGGAAGCATGGTCTGGGGAGTGCCGGGGACAGGGTGGGGGGACACATGGGCTGCCAGGTGGTTGCTGGGGAACATGACCATCCGGATCCAACTCCATGCAGATGTCCCCAGAGTGTCACACCTCCCTCCTGGCCTCCTCTGGCTTCTAGCACTGTCCTGAAGCACACGCTTTTGTTAGAAGCCAATGCTGAGGCTGACACCAAGATTATCCAGCTCCCCAAGTCTGTAGCTAGCCTTAATTGACTGGGCAAGGTGGTTTCTCTGCTCCCTTCCTGAAGTCCCAGATCTCGAACTCAAACTCCTTCTCTCTTAATGTGACCATGCAGCCTAGAGAATTTTGAGCAATAGGGAACTAGGGCTTTCCCTGGTTCTGTGACAGGGTCAACCCAGGGAATGGCGAAACTTGAGAAGTTCTGTCACACCCATGGTACTACTGTAGGGGGCATTATGTATTAGGGAGCTCAACAAGGTAACTGTAGCCTGAGGCGCATGAATATAAGGCTGTGTTTGTGGGTGTGTGTGCGTGGGTGTGTGCGTGGGTGTGTTACATTGATGCATTTCTTGAGAAAGGTGCAAGAATTTCACCTATACAGAGGGACACATCTGCTTTATTATTTATAATAGAAGCTAAATTTTAATTTTTTAAAGGACACTGCTAATGATTGAAAAATCGAGTTTTTAGTTTTGCTATTTTTTTTAATTGGTAGAAGATTTTTATATATTTTTTCCATTTCGTTGGGTTGTGTCCTTATTTATATAAATACTTTATCCGTGAGGGGCGAGGAAGAAGACTTCTTTGCTCTTAATTATTGTGGTTGTCATTGTCCCTATTTTATTTCCGGTGTGATTTATCCGTCTTACCTTCTAAATGAGAAACTGTTTTCCTGTATTTGTACATTGTCAGATTCTATAGTTTCGTAGATAATTTAACCAAATTGCTCTATGTATTATTATTCTGTGAGTATAAAGTTCTATTTTAACGTCTGTAAATACTTCAAAACTGGCTTCTTTTCTTAGCTCCCACTGGGGAGCTATTGTTTACATCACAAAAAACTGTAGAATCTCTATGCTCATGTACTGTAAATAGTGAAGTGATCTGCTTATAAATAAACCGAACAAATACACTATGGAAATTAAAAAAATACCACCCAAGCCCTGCCCAGAGGTGTCTTTCTTTCTTGGTCCTGTGAACACATGGAGGGGGCACTCTGTTCACTAAATGAGAGAGTTCAGATCCAGTCTTTTTTTTTTTATTATTATTATTATTATTATTATTATTATTATTATTATTATTAATTTATTCATTTTACATCCCAATTATATCCCCCTCTATTGTCTCCTTCTAGCTCCACCTTCCCTTCCTCTTTCCCCCCATCCCTGTCTCCTAGTACGAAGAATGGGGAAACTCTCCTTCCTTACCAATTGACCCCAGACTATCAAGTCTCTTCAGGACTACCTGCATCCTCTTCCTCTGTGGCCTGGCAAGACCGCCTTATCAGGGGAAGTGATTGAAGAGCAGGCAATAAGAGTTCATGTCAGAGACAGCCCCTGCTCCCCTTACTAGGTGATCTACATGGAGACTGAGCTGCCTATGGGCTACATCTGAGCAGGGGGCTCGGGTGCTCTCCATGCATGGTCGTTGGTTAGTGCAACAGCATCTGCAGGACCCCCTGGGCCAGATCCAGTCTTGCTTCAGAAAAAGTCTTGGCCAGTGTATGTATGGTTTGGTTTTTATTTGTCCAGTGCTGTGTTAGTACCATGTAGTTATACCCCTGCACCTTTTTATTTTCTTCTTGAGGCTTAAGTTGCCCAGTCTAGTTCAGAACTCACTATGTAGCTCAGGCTGGCTTCAGACTTAACAATCCTCCTGCCTCAACCTCGTGACTAGAAGTATAGTTAACACACAGCCACGCTGGGCCCAGCCATAACCTTATCAAATACAGTGACAAAAGCCACACCCAGCAGAGCTGCTTCTGTGTGCTCCAGGGCAAGCTCTCTTCCAGTGGAGTCGAATCTCTTCTTTTCCTTGACACTTAACCACTAAAAGTCATGTGCCTTTGCTCGGAAAAACAGTGTCCTCAGTGCCACTTATAACAAAGCTGACAACACAGCTCAGGATTAAAAGACCCAGAGTCCAGGCACATCCTGCTGTAACACAACCTGAACAGAAGGGCAGAGCGTGTGCTGCAGAGGCACAGCTAGCTCTGCAATAAAAGTCACAGGACGTACGCACCACACTCGGTGTCCTCTGATCTTGGATGTCTTCTGGAAGAAGGCCATAACTGGGCTGTAACTTGGCCGGGGCCTTCTCCCCTCTCTGGCCTTCAGTTTCCTGCTTTAATTTTAAAAGGGACATTTGAGTAGTCCACAAACAGTTTGAGGGAAACTATGTACGTCCCTCTCCGTGAGGCAACTGTTTCAATATAAACTTCTGCAGAACCAGCCCCTAGGTTGGGAGGAAGACATGTCTAAGAGTTAGCCATTTATGGAAGGCTGGTGGGTATTGTGTGCCACTGTGGGGGATGGGGAAGATAACAGAATGTGGGGCACAGTTGACCCTGACTTTGCAACAGGTCACTGGCTAAGGCAATAGAAAGGAGGGCTTACACATTGCAAGAGCCTGCACACAGCTTACACATTGCTGCACCTGCACACAGTGGGGATGTTGATTGAAACAGAATATGGGTAGAGAGAGCAAAGCATCACTCGAGCTTTAAATTTGGCCTTTGTTAGATCTTTTAAAAGCTCAGGGTGGGGAACAATAGAAATAAGCCATATAAAATTAAGCAAATATAGGAGATATTTTTGACAGCCTTTTGTGAATGTTATTGAATTGACAACTTTTGGGTTCTTTTGCTGATTTTGTCAGTTTTGATACTGTGGATACTAACTCTGCCAGGCATGGCATACTTAAATTTAGTCTTGTTTTTAAGCCAAGGGCCTCTTAATTAAACTGAAAGTCTGCAACTGAAATCAGTGGGAAATTCAAGAATAAAAAGTGGATCTTATAAAAAAAAAAAAAAAAAAAAAAAACAAGAAGAAACAGAACAACTAAATTCAACATGTGAAATTTGGATTAGGCAAATTTGGAATAGGCAACACTTTATTTTCTACTATATATGTAGTGTGTGTGTGTACATGTACGTTCATGTATGTATATGTAGGTCCTGAGACAGGGCTCAGATCATCAGAGCTAGTGGGAGGAGACTTTACCTGCTGAGTCACTACACTGACCCCAAACTTTGTCTTTTGTCCTCCTCCTTTGGTTTTATTTGAGACAAGGTCTCACACTGTAGCCCAGCCCCGTGTAAACCAAGCTGGCCTTGAACTTATGGTGATGCTCTTGCCTCTGCCTCCTGAGTGCTGGAATTAAAGGCAAGTGCCACCACACCCAGCACAAATATTTTTATTTTTTTTAAGATTCATTTATTATGTACACAGAGTTCTGTCTGTGCATATGCCTGCATCCCAGAAGAGGGCACCAGATCTCATGATAGATGGTTGTGAGCCACAATGTGGTTGCTGGGAATTGAACTCAGGACCTCTGGAAGAACGACCAGTGCTCTTAACCTCTGAGCCATCTCTCCAGCCCTCCACAAACAGTCTCTTAAAGAGTTTTGTGACCACAGGGGAATGTTGATTCAGAGTTTGCATCACAGTTGAATTACCTAGGAAACAGGCTCTAGGTTGCTCTCTGAGTCTAGCAAGAGCCCAGGAGACCTGCAACTAGAATGGCCTCGCACAGTTGATCCATGTTGGACAGTGTGGCCATTTTTTTCCACCTCAGGCATTGATTCCCCTGAGAAATAGATAGATTTCCTTAAGAAATGCAGATTATCCTGTGACTAAGGAAAGCCCTGAAGGAAGCTGTCTGCTGAAGCCCCAAGTCCTACACCTGTGGCTCATCAGAATGTATATATATATTTTTTTTCCACATGTTGGTATGAAACATTCACTTGTCCATGTGACAGTGTGTGCTAGAAAATGCTCTGCTCCTTTAAAGATGTGTGACATTCCCCTTGAGAAAGGGTCTTGCTGAGTAGACCAAGACCTCTTAACCTTCTGCTTGCCCACTCTTTCCACTCTTTCCTTAGTGCTAAGATGGCAGGTATGTGTGATCTGTAAAGATGCATAACTCCTCTAAAGACCACAGAGGACTGAAGTGATATGCATGGATTACGTGTAAACATTCCAGCAAAGTCATGGCTGGCATTCAACACAGAGGTAGGAGGATTGAGAGTCCAAAGCAAGCCTGGGCTATTTGGTGGGATCCAGAAAGAAAGAAAGGAAGGAGGAAATAAAGAAGGAAAGGGAGAGGGGGAAAATTGAAAATGAATGTGAAAACACATGAAATATATATGACCAAAGCTTGATGTTCGAATCTGGGGGTAAGTTTGTGGGTGTTTGATAGCTAATTTTCTACTTTTGAAAATTAGCAAATACCTTCATTAAAAAACACTAAATTATAAGAATTATAAGCATTAAAAGAACAAAAATAATAATTAAGTCAGTATAGGAAGTCTAAAATATTGGGCTAAATTCAATAGACTCTTTAAGATTAAAAACAATCTCTAAACTCTGCACGGTGGTGCATGCCTTTAACCCAGGCAGAGGCAGGCGGATCTCTGTGAGTTTGAGACTGGCCTGGTCTACACAGAGTTCCAGGCCAGCCAGAGCTACATAGTGAGTCCCTGTCTAAAAATAATAAAATAAACAAACAAAAACAATGTCTAAAACCATTTGATGATATAGATGCCTGGTGTATTTTCCACCAGCTCTCAACTCCTGAGTCTTTAACTGTCTAAGAAGATACGTGGCTTTCCATTGGCTTGGGTGACCTCTTTCTTCCTGAGGGCTGTGCCACCTGCCGGCAGTGCCTTCAGCTACTGGATGCAACAGGACTTGGATGCAGGCGCACCTCCTGGGTTGGGGTTCCCTCCTGGCTGGTTCCCGGAAGCAGCTGTGAAGGACGGGAAAGCACACAGCGGGTTAGAGGCTGCAGCAAGCTTTCCTTTGACCTGTTTGGACCAGGCTCAAGGCTTGACATGTGCAGAGAGCAAACCGGGGGGTGAGGGTGGGGGGGTAGTTTCAGGAGAAGCAGGGGAACCGGAAGTTCTTTCCCACTGAGCAGCAGAACAGAATGCCAAAGGCAACCGATGCCTGTGAGACATGGGGAGCTGTGGTGACTGACAGGAGGCGGAGGGAGAACTCCAAGCACCCAGGTTACCAAGAGCTTCAGCCACTAATCGTTCAGAGCGCTAGTGTGGCCAGATCTTGAACTTTTAAAAAAGAAAAGCTGAAAATCCGATTCTGGATTTTTGTTTGCTTGTTTTTATCTTTTTTTTTTTTTTTTTAAAGCTGGGGTAGCCCAACTTTAAAATATGGACAGCAAATTCACAAGTTAAGGAAAAGCTCCTGGGCTAGAGAGACAGCTCGAGGATAAAGCCTTTGCTTAGTATTCATTAGGCTCTGGGTTCAATTCCCAGCACTGCTGCTTTTGAACAAGGAAAGTTGCAGGCTCCATGTTTAGGCTCACCTGCTCCTTTTCCCCAGGACAGTTTATGCCTTTGTCTCTCTGTCTCTCCCTCCCTCTCTCTGATTGCATTTATTAGTTGGGGGGCACACTTGCCACACCACATGTGGAGGTCACAGGACCCCTTTCAGGGAGCAGTTCTCCCCTTCTCCCTTCTGAGGCGAGGTCTCTTGCCTGCTGCTCTGTGTACCCCAGGTCTCCGAGCTATCCCCCATCCTGCTGCAAAAATGCTGAGGCTGTAGATACATGACACTCCCCCCTGGCTTTTAATGGGCTCCGGGAGTGGACTCAGGTCATTAGATTTGCACAGCAAGTGCTTGCATGAGCTGAGCCATCTTGCTAGCACGCCCTCTCCTCCCCCCCCCCTTGTTATTGTGTTTTGTTTGTTTGTTTGTTTGTTTGTTTGTTTGAAAAGAAGGCTGGCCTTAAACTCAAAGTAATTTTTCTTAGTTCTGGGATTACAAGCATGTGTCCCCTATGCTCAGCTCCACAAAACGTCCCTGTGTTATGAGTGTGTATGTGGTGTGTTTGTGTGTGTGTGCACATCCATGTGTATGAGTTCATATGTGTGCATGCCGTGGTACACACATAAGAAGGTCAGTGGACAACCTCAGATGTCAGTCCTTATCATATTTGAAGTAAGGTCTCTTGTAGTTCACTGCAGTGTATTTGAGGCTAGCTGGCCTGTGATTACTCTCTCTCTCTCTCTCACACACACACACACGGCATCTGACTTTATGTGCGTTCTGGAGATCTGAACTCATCTACTCATGCCCATTTGCCAAGCACTCTACCCACTGAGGCATCTCCTTAGCATCTACACATGGTTCTTACTGTGAAGGTGGGCAGGTCCCCTGCTGGGCTCAGCCCTGGGCAGTGTGGGGCCGTTCTGAGGCTGCCACTAACAGTTTCACAAATCAAGTGCACTTTGAGTTCAAGGGAGACCTTTCCAGCCACAGTACTGGATGGGGGTGCTGTGGAGGGTAGACAGGCCTCTTTCCCTAGTGGTATACAAGCCAAACCTCCTGGTGGTAAAGCTAGGATTCAAATAGACAAATAGCTACAAAGTCAGTTTTTAAAATTCCTTGCAGCTAGTAATTCCAGGCACAAATGTCTACAGTCTCAGAATCGGTGTCTACCTTCTGTTCAACTATAGGACCCTAGAGCATCCCTCAACCTCTCCCGAAGGGCCAGATTCTGACACCTATTGACTATTTGGCATGGCTGAAATACTTCGCCTCTCTCAGCCTCGGGTCCCTCCCTCACAAACTGGAGACCACGGTTCAGGCCCAAATGCCCTGCCTGCTGAACGTGTGCCTGAATCAGACTCTTCTGCATACCTTGCTTGGCTGCCTGCTGCTTCTGCTTTTCCTCTTCCAGCGCCTTCACCTTGGCCTCATGCTCATCAGCCAGGGCCTTCCATTCCTTTCGGTTGTTGGTTATCCCATCTAGCATAGGTGTAATCTCCTCATGAAAACGGGAGAATTCCTGGAGAGGCGAAGTGGAAGAGGGACAGGGAGAGGGATGAAGGAAGGAGGGGGAGAGAGAGAATGAAGAGCTGGGGCATTGCCCTAGGACCCTGGCTTAAGGTCTGCCTGGCACTGGAGTGGGCTGCCTCTCCTGCCTGCTGACACTAGGGGGCCCCTCCTTCCCCTGCTTGGAGCCTTCCTGCATGGCCATTCCTTCACGGTGAGATGTAAGTAACAGCACTCCAGTCACCTCCTGGAAGTCCCAGGTACCCCACACCTCACTTCCTGAGTGTTTTCTTCCATCTGTGGACTTCCTACAGCTGTTCTCTTTGATGGAACCCTCTACCTTTCCCCTTTTCCTTGAGGTCCCTGCTTCCCTAACACTCCCTCTAGGAAACCTTTTCTGACCCCTAGGTAAACTGAGTTCCCATTGAATGTCCCCCAAACCCTCTCTGATCAACCCCTACTTCCCTATAATGACTCACTTTGCCTGCCTCTCCCAGAGGATGACACTGGGAGGGGGCAGGAACATTGGCTAGCTCATCTGCTCAGTTGGTTCTGGCTTAGCACTGGTCTGGAACGTACTTCATGAATATTCACTGAATGAAACTGTGTTATTGGGCTTATTCATATGAACTCCCCAAACTCTAGGGATTAAATAACACCTTGAACACAGTATACTTTTGTGTGTGTGTGGGGGGGGGGGGGGGGGTTTTTGTTTTTTTTTTTTTTTTTTTTTTGAGGCAGGGCTTCTCTGTGTAGCCTTGGCTGTCCTGGACTTGCTTTGTAGACCAGGCTGGCCTCAAAGTCACAGAGATCCACTTGTCTCTCAAGTGCTGGGATTACAGGTGTGCAGCACCATGCCCAGCTGAGCACAGCACACTTCAATCTGTGGTATAATTCATCTCCTTGGGTCTTCTGAGCCACCTCCCCCCCCAGCCCCTCTCCTACCTGCCACTGCTCCATGAGGGTTGTCTCATCACTCCCGCACTTGCAAGTGAAAGGATGAAGTGCAGACTGGTGAAGGAGGTTTGCTGAGGTGAGGAGGGTCTGTTGCAGCAAGGGCCAGGCAGGGCCTCCTATGCTCAGAGATGCCTGAGCTGTGGTCTAGGCTCTCCCAGGAGCTGTGTGACTTTGGGATGGTCACTGCCTAAGCCCACTTTCATCTAGATAGTAGGGAAGTAACAGCACCTACCCACGAGTGGCCAAGATTTCCTAACACTACTGCTGGCAGCATGAACATCAGCCATGCTGTACTGTTGATCAGATGGCCCTACTTTGTCTGTGTGGTTACAGAGGTACTCCTGGCCTCTCTGGGATCATTTCTTCTTCCCTGGAAAAGAACTACAGCTCATACTGTAGAAAGTCCTGGCCTGGGTGTTGGGTGCCCCAGCTCCAGTCCTGCTCCATAGATGGTCCAGAGATGCTGGCCCTGCCACTTATCCTTTCTGACCTCATGTATAATGTGGCCAAAAGAACAGTAAATGGGATGTGGAGTCAGGCGTGGTGGTGTAGTGATGTTATACCAGCACTTTGGAGGCTAAGACAGGAGGCTCATGGATTGGAGGTCAGCATGGGCAGCACAGCCAGACCAAGTCTCAAAAACGAAGAGGGGGCAGGTAGATAGCGGAGGCCTCTCAAGAAGGGGACTAATCTGAACAAGAACTCCAAGAAAAATTCTGGCTTACCTTTTCACAATGACATTGTGTCCATCAAAGCATGCTTAGTCATTTGTATTACCTGAGTATTTATTGAGCAAATAGGAGGAACCAAGCTCCAGGCTTTGGCTGAAAGTACCACCACCCCATTCTATGGAGTTGTCCTAAGAACCAAGTATGACTAAAGCTTAAAAAAAAAAAAAAACTGTTCTGCAAAGCATCACATGCTTGCCAGGGTTCATTATCCCTGCTGTCCTCTGGACTCTGAGCATGCCTACCTTATAGACAAAGGTGCACACAAAGTCAATGAAGCCGACTTGCAGCTTGGGGAGCTCATCTGCCTTGTTTCTGTCCATCATGGGCTGTCATGAGAGAGAAAGAGTTAATGACATGGAGTGATAATAGGGATTCACCCAACCTAAGAAACATTCTTGCAAGGAGAAGGAGAACTAGGAGGGGTGATGGTATCACAGGTTTCACGTGTTCAAGGTCATCCTCTGTACACAGTGAGTCTAAGGCCTGTAATGTGTGAGACTCTGTTTCAGAAATAAAATAAGACAAATAAAACCCTACACTCACCAAGCTTTCAGATTTGATTAGCAATTTGGAGAAAGTATGGAAGATAGAGGGGAACGTGTTGAAGAGCATGCAGAATGGAAGTGACCAAGCCAGAGTGTGGGAAACACAACCCAAACAAACACCCACTGGCTTTAACAATTACATGGAGAGCAAGAGGGATAGTCAGAGAGAGAGGGTTCTAGGGAGAGAAGAGAAGAGTTGGGGAGGGGAGGGGAGGAACAGGGGGAGGAGTAGGGCAACCTGTTGCTGCTTCCATGAGGCTTCAGAGTTGGAGCCACACTGTGTCTGGATTCTGACTTGGACAAATCAACAGATTCTTTTTCTTGGTCAGAGAAAATAAATGGGCTGAGGGCGAGATGCTATTAAAGTATTACTAATGATGTTGTAAGTTGATATGGTTTTATCTATGTTTTTATCTGTAATGAAATCTTCTCTCTTAGAGATACACACATAGTGTTTAGGAAGAAATAGCCACGTCTGGGATTCACATAAAGTACTCCAGCCAAAAGGTGGGAAAATGCATTGGACAGAACAGGTAAAACAAGAATGGCAAGTTTTGCTAATTGTTGACTCTGGCTAATGGTACTAAAAGATCAATAACTATTCAGTCAATGATTTAAGATGTTAAAAGAACAAAGAAGACGGTGCTGAGAGCAATGTAGATTGTGATACAATGAGACCATTCTTAATGTGTTTTGGCAAAGAATGTGGCTGCTTTTTGCCCTAGTCCTAAAAATCTGCCTAAGGCAAGACAAGGGAAAAGAAGAGAAGAGGGATGGCAGAAGATTGCAAATCCTTGGGGCTCTCTGTGTTCCTTCTCATACTCTGCCTGTTCCACTTGCCTTTCCCTCTCCCTGAACTCCTGCTGAAGGCTACTGTGGTGACCCTTGAACCCTTTGCACTCACAGTGCTCTCCCTGAACTCCTGCTGAAGGCTACTGTGGTGACTCTTGAACCCTTTGCACTCACAGTGCTCTCCCTGGACTCCTGCTGAAGGCTACTGTGGTGACTCTTGAACCCTTAGCACTCACAGTCCAACCTGTCTCCTATCAGTGGTTTGCTCTTTTTAATTCATTGTCCCCAAGCCTTCTTTCTAGATCCACCCTCAGGCCTTTCTGTCAGAAGCCAGCCGACTGTCCCAGCCAAGTCAGCTCTCTGTGGTGAGTGGTGTTCCCAGATAGACAAGCTTCCTCTAGCTGTCTCTGTCCAGTTAGGAGAAAGCCAAGGTAAGTGGCCTCTGTACTTGTGTATCTGAAAGAGCAGTTTGGTAGCCATTGGTCAAGCTCTACTTAGCTGAGTGAGATAAGAACCCACACATTGACAGCAAGACCCTCACACTGAAGAGGGGTGAGTAACGATACATCACATATTTCTGGCCCCCATTCTGTTCTCAAGGAATGAGGCTGAGCATGGTCTAGGAACCATGTACCATCTCAGAACCAGTTTTGCTATCAAAAGATCATCCTGAGGTAAGGTCACATAGCCCTGTGTCATTGGTCACCTCTGGGTCAGCAAGAAATTGTATTCTCTTGACATCCCCACTGACGACCCCTGTCTACTCACAATGGGATTCTGTTGCAGCACTGTGCGCTCCAGGTCACCTTGCTCCCAGAATTCAGCAGCCACCAGCAGAGCTACCTGCAACAGATGGACCCAATCGCACATGGACAGCCCCAACCCTCCTAGCCCTACTCCCACCTTACTTGTGTTTCAAAAGCTCAGCAAAATGGGAGAGCCCACCCCTTCCCTGGTACTCCCACTTGTCACTGGAGAGACCAAGAGAGTAGAGTTGGGCTAAAAGTAGCCAGCCTCACTGACTGTGGTCATCAATACTGACCATCCCCACCCCACACCCCACACACACTCTGCAAGGGCAAGAAGAGTCCATACCTTGCTCTGAACCTCCCAGGGCTTCGTGATGGCTGAGAGATCACAGGCAGTCATCATCATGGCCCTGGGCAAACAGAATACTCTCGGTCGGTCCAAAGCCATTTAAAGCTACAGTACATGGTTAATTCAATGATTCTCACTTTTCTCTATCTGCTTCCCAGTAGGTAACATCACCATTTTGTGAGGCAAGGGCTCCTCTCTCCCCCCCACCCCAACCCTTACCACCACATTGTATCTGGAGTTTCAAGTCACAGGGTGAGCCCTCCCTCTGTTTATAATCAGAGGTGTGCCTTTGGGCTTGCCTCTCTAAGCCTCCCATTTTCTCGTCTGTAATGATAGAGATGCTTCCCTCATAGAACAGACACAAGACCAAATGAGACAATGAACTTGAAAGTCAGCCTGTAGCACCCAGACATGGTGTGTGTGCAGTGAACATAGTGGGAATCTATTACTGCTGAGATCAGGCTGGGCCCTGCTCCAAGTTACTCTATATTATATTACTCTATATTCTTTCATGCTGTGACTCCATTTTACTAAAGAGACAGGATGAGTGTGTGTAGTTTGCTGGACCCACAAACAGCACTTCCTGTCTAGTGCCATTCATGTGGTACAGATTGATAGTTTAGTCCCAAAAGTAAAAAGGATGTCAGGTTGAAGAGATGGCTCAGCCATTAGAATGATTTCCCTGCACATACGTAGAAGGATCTAAATTTTGATTTCCAGAACCCAAGCACAAAGCCAGGCATGGGGAGATATCCCTATAACCCAAACTCTGGAGGCATGGGAAGGCGGCTCCCTCAGACTCACTGGCCAGCCCAATAGCCCACTGGGGGCTTGGGGTTCAGTGAGTGGTCCTGCAATATTCTGATGGGAAGGCAGGCCATGAATTCCTCCACAGTGGGTACATGAGACAATAGAAGGATTGGGACAGGGAGGAACTGGAGCCACAGAGGGATCAGAATGAGAAAACATTTCAGTCAGCTGTCCTGGACTTTGAGGTTGTGCTGGCGAATCTTCTGTCAATTTGACACACAGAACTAGAGTCATCTGAGAGGAGGGAACCTCAAAAGAGAAAATGCCTCCATAAGATCAGGCTGTAAGGCATTTTCTTAATTAGTGGTTGATGGGAGAGGGCCTGGCCTGTTTGTGGGTGGTGCCATCCCTGGGCTGGCGGTCCTGGATTCCATAAGAAAGCAGGCTGAGCAAGCCATGGGGAGCAAGCCAGTAAGCAGCACCCCTCCATGGCCTCTGCATCAGCTCCTGCGTCCAGGTTCCTGCCCTGTTTGAGTTTCTGTCTTGACTTCCTTCGATGATAAACATATGGAAGTGTAAGCCAGACAAACACTTTCTCCCCAGCTTGCTTTTTGTTCATGCTCTTTTGTCACAGCAACCGAGCTAAAGCAGAAATTAAGCTCCATGTTAAGGCTGCACATGAAATGGCATCAGTAAGGGAAGGAGACTAAAGGCGCGTAGTATGGAGTCATCATCTCAGAGCTGTGTTACAGGAAGGAACCACACAAGAGAGGTGAAAAGGGCTTGCCAATAGCCATGCCTGGCACGGAGGAGGCACAGGAAGAAGAGGTCAACCTGACTCAGACCCACAGGCAGGGGTTGGAGGGGAAAAGTAGGAGAAGGCTGGACTTTGAACCAAGTTTTCTGCTTAGACTTATTTAAAAGATAATTTTATCTTCATGTTTTCTTCACCTGTGTGTAGGAGTTTATACATGACCGTGTGTACACGTGACTGGGTTTCGGCAGGTGCATGTGTATGTGCACGTGGAGGACAGAGTCCAGGGTCAGATGTCTTCTCCAGTTACTTCTCCACGTTATTATTTTTGAGATGGGATCTCTCACTGAACCTGGAGCTTAATTCAGCTATGCTGGCTGGCCAGAAAGTCCCAGGGTTTTTTTGTTTGTTTGTTTTTTGTTTTTTGTTTTTTTTTTTTTTTTACATGAGTGCTGAGGATCTGAACTCAGGTTTTTATGCTTGCATGACAAGCACTTAACCGTTGTCTGGGCTATCTCCCTAGCCTCATAGATGATTTTTATAAATAATCACCTGTCTATGGAACATTTTATATCAGCTGGTCTAGGAGGCCACGTGGGTCACTCATAAAACATTAACAAATTTAAATAAAATCTTTAATTATGTAGCGTGATTTTTAGTGGGTAGGTTTTGAGTGGATAAGCTTTCAGAAGTGCCTGTTGCATAGAAACATCTTAATGCTTTATAGTAAGTTCAGAATATGTGCCCTATGTTTAATGTTAGGTGTGTGCACATGTGATGCTTCTTAGTAAACATATCAGGCAAATAAAAGGTCAGCTGTGCAGCCAAGAGTGACCACCTCCCTGGTACTTGTCGTTGTCCCCAGGTTAAACTCACAGGTGTGGCTTCAGGAGAGTACGGGTTATTTGCTTTACTTGGCCGAAAGACACATAGAACCAGTCCCGGAGGTCGGGGAAACACACCCATGTGTTTTATAGTCAGACATGGGAGAAGGCCACATAGCCCCAGAATAGCTAATTCAAACTTCATGCCCTAAACACAAGGCACTACAGTCCCCCACCATCACCCCAGAAGTGTCCCAGGGTCCCGGGTGTTGTGTGCGGCAGGGGGGATTCAGAGAGGTTCAGGTGGAGCGTATGGTCACTCGAGGGAACACAGAGAAAAGCACTCATATGGCAACATGCTAGGTAGGACAGTAAAGTGGAAGGTTGGGAGAGGAGTGCCTAAAGTGAGAGCAACTAGTCCTGCCTGGGCCATCTAAGGGATAACAGCAGAGCTGAGCCAAGAGGGGGGGCACAGGAGCTCTCTGATATGGACCAAATGCTTGTGTTCCCCTAAATCCATACGTTGAAGCCTTAACCTCAGTGCAAAGGTATTAGGAAGTAGGGTCTTTTAGCAAGTAATTAAAGTTAGATGAGACTATGACCCAGTCACTAACTTGGTAAAGAAGGCAGAGGGAACACCTAGCACCAGAGTCCTGGTAACAGGAAGCCTGATGCATTCAGAAGGCTGGGGCACAGAAGGGAGGAGCTCAGGGAACCCTTAGGAATCTGCTAGAAGAAGCCCAACTCAACCTGGGCATGGTGGCTCACACCATTAATCCCAGCACTCAAGAGGCAGAGGCAGGTGGATCTCGGAGTTTGAGAGTAGCCTGGTCTACAGAGGGAGTTCCAGGACAGCCAGGGCTACGAGAGATGTGTAGGTACAGGCCAGACAGCACGTGAGACTGGGGCAAGGTGCAGAGCTGCGTCCCCAAAAGACAGGAGGATTTGAAGGGAAGAGAGACACGGCCAGATCATTGTGGAGCCTTGAACTAGGGAGCGCAGAAAGGAAACCATTGTGGGAATGGGCAGGAAGTAGAAGAAATCATTGAGAAAATGTCCAAGAAGTAATGGCAGTTGAAAAGTAAACTCAACCTGAGGAAGAGGGAGGCATGGAGATGGAACAGAGTGGAGGAGGGTGTGTGAACAAGAAGAGTCAGGAAGATCTTGTGGTATCAGGAACCCACACTTCAGCCTAAGCCAAAGTCACTAAGGGAAGAGATGGAGTTGAATGCTTCCACACAGGGCTTTGGAATCAGACTCTGCCAGTCTTCCCATCTGCACTTGACTTGCAATGGCCAGAACAAGATGCCCTAAACTCTTTTAGCTGAGTGTGTAAAATAAGACCACCATACCAGATTAGAGCCTGTGAAATTCTGGTTTTGTGGGTCAAAAGGAATCCAGTCATTTCCTGTGATCGTAACACTCATCCTGAAAGGTTTTGTGCACAAAGCCAGGTTTTGTAAGAGCACCCATTGTCATCAGCTTGCCATCGATTTATCAAATTACCATTTAGGAGGGCAGCTGCTTGGAGAGTCCAGCTTGCTAGAGCGCAGCTGAACTCTTTTTAACTGGTCCATCCTCAAGGCCTTAGCTGGGGGGGAGAGGAGGGCTTCTTCCTGCTGGCTGACTTTCATGAGAAATCATTCTAGCCTCCAATTTCCAGAGCTCTGCTGGACGCTGGCTCAAACACTCCCTACGAGGTCTTGCAGCAGCATGAGAATGGGTCTACAGGAGCAGGCCTTTTACTTGGATCCAGTCCTGGGGCCACACTCTTCCTGTACCACCAGATAAGTCACTTTTCTGTCTTTCAGGTACTCTCTTTTCTCCTTTGCAAAACACTAGACCAAAAGTTGGTCAAGTTTGGGCAAAGGTCCTGGTGGATGAACACTTTAGGTCTTGCAGAAGATGCGGCCTCTACTGTATCTGTTCAGCCCTATCTGTGATGCAGGAGCAGCTATACAAAATAAGAAAGGAGGGTGTGTTGGGTAGTCTTATGTAACGTTGACACAAGCTAGAGTTTTCTGGAAGGACAGAACCTCAATTGAGAAAACGCCTTTATAAGATCCAGCTGTAAGACATTTTCTTAATGAGTGACTAATGGGGAAGGATCCAGCTCATCGTGGGTGGTGCCATCCCTGGGCTGGTGGTCCTTGGTCCTATAAGAAAGCAGGCTGAGCAAGCCATGAGGAGCAAGCCAGTAAGCAGCACCCCTTTCCATGGCCTTTGCATCAATTCTTGCCTCTAGATTCCTGCCCTGTTTGAATTCCTGCCCTGAATTTCTTCAACTGCTAAAGATCTACATATTTTTGGAAGCTTATGAAAACACCTTAATTTTAATTGCTTTTGGCAGAAGAAACCCAGATGTGGTAGTTCATGCCTATAATCCCAACACTAAAGAAACTAGGACAGGAGGATTGCTGACACTTCCAGGCCAGCCAGGGCCATGGAGAGAGCCTCATAAATCCATAAAGCCAGAAGAAAAAAGGAAATGATAACAAATTTTACAAGATTATCTTTCTACCAATAAATGATAAGATAAAATTTTTATTTATTTGCTAACTAACTTATTGATTGACTTTTATGGAGGAAGGCGCCATAAAGGCAAAAGAAACCACAGCCCATAAAGTCAGAATGTGATTCTCCATAAAAGGATCAAATTTTAATTTATGGGCATGGAAGCTTTCATTTATTTTGTTCCCTTTAGTGCGAATTATATTTTTAAAATTTCAACCA